AGCTGGACTTTCTTTGTGCCCTTTTCCCCTCGCCATCTTTCTGGCTCATATGCTTTGCGCGAGGTTCATGCACTTGATGCATGACACTGTGTTGCTGTCCAGCCCGAAGGGGAAGGATGAAGATCCGTAGGGCCAGCCACATCTGGTGTGCCAGGTTGCGACTGGAGAAGCAACAGGGATCTTTCTGTTGGCACGCACGCAGCCTTTGGTGATCACTGTCGGTGGTAGTAGGCCCTGGTTCTTCTTTGATATCTCTTCCCATCTCACGATGGAATCATCTAGCTTCTCTTGTGCCTTCTTCAGGTGGTCAATCTCCAGCTTGAGCTTCCTTTCGTATTCGGTGGATTTCCCCTTTGTCGTGGTCTTGTCGTGCTCGAACTGCGTGCTATTTGCACCCTTCGGCTTGTTGGGTTTGGCCATCACTGGCATCGTCTCTAGGGCTTCCTCTGCATACTGGAGGATGATGTTGGATTTCCATCGGCCCAGGTAGGCAACTTGAAGGACTTGCCAGCCCCTGCGTATGTATTGCAGGGCGCCTGACCTTCTCCCGGAGTGCCTAGAGAGCCGAGAGTGCTATCTGATAAGCCTTTTGGCTTGAAAGCTTATCGAGTCCAAGAAGAGGTAACAAGATAAGCCTTAAGGCTTATGTTGTCCAAAAGGCTTATCCTGCCTTGTCTATTCGCGGTGCATGAAGTGTTGCTGACAAAAAATGCTATGGCTCAAGAAAAACCACCTGTGGTATACCACAGCTGGAAAACTTAGCAATAATTTTTACCCTATATGCCCGGTATACGCCGGCCTCTGCTTCGGTCGATTGTCTAGATGGATGTTTTCAGCAGTCTTTACATCGCAGATTTGTTGAAAATTTGTGTGCACAGTGTTTTTGAGTGAGGCTTCCCCGCTGAACACTTAGAGCTTTCAGTCGGGTCAATTGGATTTGAGCGGCCGCGCCCGCGCGCGCGGATCTATGCTCAAAGGGCTGCGCGGCATGATGGGGCACGCGCGAGAGAAGTTGTTGTTATATAGGGCCCACGTTGGTGGATTTCACATGCCCGGAGACTGCTTTGCCAAATAGGTCTCTCCAAGCTGCGATGATCTGGGATTTCTCGATCGGATCGGCGGTGTCCCCATGCACTATTTTGTCTTCTTCGATGGGCACTGCATCAAGGGCCGTCTTGGTGACCATGAATGCGCAGGGGGCGGTCCAGTCGCATTCACCTTCGCAGCAGCATTGAAGAGTTCTTTTGACTCCCAATCCTTCTTGGTCGCCCTTCGTGATCCTCAGATTCAGGGCCACGATGCGATCCTTCTCCTTGATGGTGATGTCCTCCTTGTATATGGCCGCCAGTTCAACCTCTCTCAACATCCAAACTGTAGCGAAAGCGAACATCAGTGCTGGGTTGTGGATCTGGCTTGCCTTCGTCTCATTGACTTCCTTCCTGCACTTCTCCATCCATAGATCCTCTGGTACTTCCGCTGCTTTCTTCGTCGGGCCTTGAGCGCGCTTCAGGGCCCTCGCCACCTGTGTGAAAGTTCTCTGCATTTGATGCGTCCAAGGCGTACCCTTCTCGATCAGGAGCTGCTTGTATTCGGACAGGTAGGCGCAACCCGCCTTATAGTTCGACTCCTTGAGGACTGCACCCACCTGCTCAAGGGTTTGTGGTAGCCAACAGTCGGTTTTGCCCCATACTCCTAAACCGTCCAGGATGCCCTCCACAGTCTTCCTGACCGAGGCTTTGGCTTTCCTCGACGAGTTTGCGTAGTAGTTCTTCTGGAAGTCCTTCACCACGCTCTCGCCTTTCCCTTGATTCATTTTGAAGAGCTTGGCCGTCTTGACGGCGGCCTTCCATTTCAGCCTTCCTCCATTCGGCGTGCTCGCCTTGGGTAGTTGGGGTAGGTCAGCTCGTCTTGGTCTTGGTTTTCCCCTCCGTAGTTTACCTTCGGGTTGAAGACGAACTCCCAAACCTCGTCGAATTTTGGTTCCCAAACTCCCTCGGCCGGCGCTCTCTTCCTTGGGGTCATCAGCAGGAAGGGTTTTCTTTTGAGGTGTCGCGCACGACGGTGGCCTCTTCTTGTTCCTCTTGACCAGGTTGAGCAGGCCTGCCCATTCACCATCTCCCACTCCCCGGAGTAGGCGGGAATTTGTGCTCATTTCTCTCCCGGTCTGCTCCAGCTCCGTCCCATGGCGTTTTAGTCCATGCGTCCCACTCTGGATCTGGTAGTTGTGCTTTCGTGCCCATGATATTCAAAGTTGCCAGTGATCCTTGGCGTTCAACCTCCAGGTGACTAACCAAGACATGCCTTCCGTTTCCCTGACTGTCTCCCTCAGTGGCGGGGAGTTGATGCTCGACCCATTGGGTCGGAGTCTCGTAGAGTTCGGAGTCGGAGTGTCCAGATCCGTCATCGTGGAGGTTGTTTCTCTCCCCCCTTCTGGCGTATGACCCAGGCGGTCCAGGAGCTGGGCCCAGGGCCTCGGCTGCGGGGAATCGGATTTGGATGGTCCAAGAAGGGAGGTTCTCCTTCGTGTTCTCGTGGTAGTCCATGTCCCACGGCTCTTCCCATTGGCTGTCTTCTGACGTCTGGGTGTGCCCGCGGAGTTCGGCAGGAGCGCCAACAAATCCAGCACACCTGGAGGTACCAATCTGGGGTTTGGGTGTATCTTTTACGCCCGGGGTGTTTCTTCCCACAAAGAAACGCCCTAGGGTGTTTCTTGCCCAGGAGAAACGCCCTTAAGTTGTGGACCCATCCCACTCTTCCTTTGGAAACGCCTTCGGGTGTTTCCTTCCTGCGTGGAAACGCCCATATGGCATCATAGATGTCTCATGTACATATCTAAAAAATAACATGTATATATATATATATATGTGTGTGTGTTTTTCACTCTTTAAACAGTATGCACATGTTTTTCTCTGGGAAGCGCGTTCGACGTTTTACTGTTTCCATTTGTGTTTCGTTGTGCGTGAAGTCAAGTCTCACGATGAATGCGTTTCAATCTAGCACTCACAATTTTAACACATGGGGCTCCGGCCTCGCATTCATGCATGAAAACAAATTGTTGCTCATGTCATATATGAAATCATGGATGGTAATGGAAACATCACAAGCATAGATTATCACGCGTTGCCTTTTTTCCCCGCGGGGCTCAGAGAAGCAACCCAATAAACGACAGATCGAATTGAGTACAGCTGGGACTGCTGCATAGTCTTTCCAGTCCATTTTCGACTCAGACATTGACAGGTTCACCCCCTCTAGTAAGCAATCTGTTTTTTGATGAGGAATCGACAATATTTTGGAATAATTTTCATGTTTGCGGTGTACTTTACTGCCTGATGGTGCAGCATGGCCTTCACCTGCAGGACTTTCAAGCTGGATTTCATGTTGTCTTGTCAGTGTTGCTTTTGTTTGCCCTGTCTCTATTGTCTTGTCAATGCCAGGATGACGTGGCAGGTGATGCTATTTGGAGCTCCAGGCTGTGAGATGCCTTACTGGCGTGATTGATCTTTGGACATGTTCAATCAAATGAGTTGCACACAGTGGGTTAGATGTATACATGTCAGAGCGTCAAGCCTGTCAACTCCCGCAGTTTTTGCATTCATGCTCAAAATGCCTGAGCCGAAGGCACGGCCAGTCCAACCGAAACCAAAGGCCGTGAGTGGTCCCTCCCAACCACTAGAGCCTCCTCCGCCATGGGTCAAGCTCGGCATCAATAAGCCACCACCTCCTGCACCAGTTTCCTGTCTATGGTAATGTTAAATTCTTTGGTTGTCCTGCTTTCGACTTTGTTAAGCAGGGTCATGCCAACGTGCTGGAGACAGTTCTGCACTTAGGCCAGCTCTAGTTCAAGCAGACCTCAGTGGCATGATGCTTTCCATGAGGCATGGGGGTCGTCGTATATGTTGGGTAGGGGCATTGCTTTCTCAAGCTTGAGTTGTGCAAATCTGGGCAAATCTTGTAAGTTTGCCGGAGTGTGTGGTTTCAATGCTTCCAGGTTCATGTCAGTCTTATTTTTTCAATATGTGGGTCTGGGCTTTGCGCAGGATTGGATGACAATGGACCCAGCTCAAATGATGGCTATGTCAATGCAGATGCGCTCAGATGCCATGGAAGCTCAACGGGTGGCGCGCAATTACGCGAAGGCTGCCAAACGAAGCCTCAAGCAAGTGGAAAGCTTGAAAAAGGACTTTGGCACCAAAAGACTAAAGAATACACATTGACATATGTTCACTGTGGGTCATTCAGTTTATTCCTCAGCTTAGATTCTGATTGTTGGGCCAAACGGTTGTCTTTCATCTTGATTGCAGGAGGTAGTGACCCATGCGAACACCAATTCGGTCTCCCAGATGTTCAACCAGAAGCTTGGCAGCTCAAGAACTCTGATTGGAAGCGTGCAGAAGAACTTTGCGGCTCCGATTGGGGCCTTCTCAGCTCGACCTACTGCGACCCATGTTCCAGAAGATGAAGAGGTGACTGACATGCGTTCTGTTACTATGTTGCCCGATGCCACATTGCTGGAAGAGGCGACAACCATCCAGCCTGGATCCGAGTATGTGGAAACAGAACTCCTAGATGATTTGGAATTTCCATGGGAGGATGATGATGCCATGCCAATGGAGGCTGCAGAGTGCGAGACACCAGCTTTTAAAAAGCGCCGTACATAGCTTCTTTGCAAAGCTGTTCTACAGATGGCGTATGGAAAACATCGCATCACTTTGGTTTTGGTAGATGGACATATGCTCATGACTGCGATGGACATGATCATGATGAGTTCACGTTATATAAATGGGGCTAAGGCCTCCATAACGCACGTTAAATGGGGCTACGGCCTCCATCAAGATGTTAACATGAGTAGCACGCACATAATTTTGTGGTTTTCATATGTTCGCACCAATGTTGTCACGCATGGTCACGCATGCCGGGACGCCGTTCTTCTCTTGTAAACTCACATGTTGCACTTAAATTGCACCCATAAATCAAACACACATGCCAGGCAAGCTTCCTTCGTGCTCGAGGCGCATCTTTGGTTTTGTTTTCTCTGGAGGGCCATTGGCATGGACAAAAGATCTCTTATTTCTGATTTTGCCGACAGGAGTGGCATATGGATTTGATCTACTATGAAGAGGCGGCGAATCTTGCTCCAAGGACATGGGCCTTTGTTCCAAAAGTATGATGCATGCTTACCTCTTCAACCTGAATGACATTACTGCATGTCAAATGATTTTGCAGATTCTCAGCCCAAGAACACAAAAGGGTAGATGTGCTGCCATGGGCCGTGCAAAAGGATCCGTCGAATTGATTTTAGAGAAGGATCAAATTGATGAAGTTCTTACCTACATCAAGGGGAGCATCCCTGAGACTGTCAAAGGGGCTATGGGAGCAGCGCCAGGGCTAACATTCAATGAGTATGCCACCAAAAGTCCCTCAGCATTTAACGGACATGGATTGGGACGCTTTATTGAAACACTACTTGAAACACTTGTTTGCGTTTTGTATGGTCTGTGTTGTCAGCAGTTTCTTTTCAATTTTTTGGTGCTTTGAGGCAAGTCCTTGCAAAAGGAACGCATTTGCGAGCATGTGTGGGCACTCAAGCCCCTTGCATTGGTGGCGCCTGCGATGCCTGTTCACAACGACAGTTTGTTTGCTGTCTTGCGCCGAGTGGTGGGGGATGAGGACAAGGTACCTGATGGTATCATTTGGTTGCTCGTTTACGATCTCAAAGCATTGATGCAGTTCCTCACCTGCCACAGCACGTTTTCCCGAAGTAAGAACTTAAGAACGCTTGGAGTTCCAACTAGCACCTGCATTTGTTTACACAAATGGTGTTGAACATGTGTCAAAAGGAATAGAAAGCGCTAGACTGCACACGCTGTTCAATTCAGGTTTACCAGAAAGACTTGGAGGAAGTCACGCGCGAACATGACAGGAGAGAAAGGCTGGCCTGTGTGGGTCCAAGGGCAGGCTGACACGCTCGATTTGTTTGAAACCATGAAGCCCTTTGTTGATGACGACGTCGGGAAGTCATGGGGGATCGACCCTCAACTGCCAAGAGGGGGTAAGTCTTTGCGCATTTTTTTGACTGTCCCGTTTTGTTTTCTTATGTTTTCTTAAAACCTCAAATCTTGCCTGTTCACAACCCCAGACTTCTGACAGTTATGGAGGACGCGGATGTAGCAACATGGATTGAACACCAACACCAATTTCGCTCAGGATTCAGCCCAAATCCTTGCTCAGCAGTCTCCGTGCCGGAAAGCCACACCGCCTCCCTCATCAGCTGCCGAGCTGGGGATTGATCCAGATGAAGAGAAGGAAAAACGAGAAGACAAGGACAGTGGACATAAATTGAACTTGTGAATCCGAAACCTTCAAGTCCTTGAGGGTGAAAATGCGTATTACCATCGACCTTTGGTTGCAGGACATGCCACCTGCTCAGCAGAGACGGCAGGAAATTTTGAAAGACCTTGAGGGAAAATTCATTGAGATTTTGGAAGACCCGCCAGACCCGCCCCTAGAGCAGCAGTACAACATGGACATTTGGGATGTTGCCTCCCTTCAGGTTGGCTCTTAAATTTGACATGGCTTTCAAAATTTGACATGGCCATAGATATCCGTCCCAAAAGAGCTAAACATAGCTTTCAAGGCTGCACGGGTCAAATGAACATGTTTTCTTCAGGTGATTTGGACACCGTAAAAAAAGAAGCTGCAGTTCGAACCTTGAGTAAAGTGAAAACACATAATAAGGGACACTGTCAGCCGGTTGGGCATCTCACCTGAGGTGGGCGCTCGCCCTGCCGTCAATTCTGTCATGCAAGAAGCTGCGCTCACTCCAGAGCCCGAGTTTGTGCAGGATGCAAACACAAAACCGATTCCATTGTTTGCGCTGACCACAGTAAAATGCTTTGCGGGAGATCCACACTCACCTCGAGAAGAGCGAGATCCCTACAGCCCATCCCAGCGGTTTTGACCCCAGCATATGTTGGAACTATTTTTGGTGACTTGGCGGCGTATGTCATGAAACCCCAAGGACAGAAACGATTGCAGGCCGAGATGAAAGGCGAGTCGCAGCCCAAGAAGAAAGCAAAGAAAGCGCCCACAGCACCCAAAGCGCCCAAAATGAAATTTCTTATGAAAAAACACAAACGTAAGGGTCAGTCTGGGGACATCATTGTTGCAGCAATCCATTGCAATTCGACTGGAAAGCAAGTTGCTCAGCTAAGCAGCAACACTAATTCAGACTGTGTGAACATTGTGGCGAAGTTGGTTTTGGGACTCAATGAAGGCAAACAGAGCCTAGAGTCTGTCATGAAGGAACTGAATGATCTGAAAGGATCCTAGTAAATTCACACGATGAAGGCCGAAAGGTCTTTTGGAAAGCCTTTGGAGTTTGGCTCGGGTGCAAATGGGAAAACATGATGTTTGGCAGTGCGCTATCATCGATCGCATTCATCTCAATACGTATAAATATATGTATATATATATATATATCTATGCATGTCAGTCGTGATGCGCCTGGAGTTTGTTCCCCCAAAGGCCCAAAGACTTGCAATTTTTGCAGGACGGCTTGCGGCGAGTGGGACAACAGAACCGAGTTCCAGTTCCAATTGCAGGCACTGCCCCTTAGCCTTAGTCCTTGCCAGCAATAAACATGAATTGATGGTGTGGAAAAGGTTTGTTTCTGAGATGGTGCTATCGCAGAAACATGCTCAAAGTATACGGAGACAGATGACTTGCACGAAGACACAGTTAATGCACTTGGTCAATTTTTTGAATGCACATTGGAACAAACGAAAGCATGATAGTCGTTCATCCTTTAACACAACAAAGTGCCCCGTGTCCAAAATTAAGTATGTTACATTCTTGAGGCTTTTGATTTCAGTGCCCCACAGCCATATGGCGATGATCCAAGTTGGCCTACTGCATGCCATGCTGGCCACTTTGTCAACGCAGGAGTTGCGTGATGTGTATGGCCTCACAAAACTGGACATGCCTTGGGTTCTAGTCGAGCTTGTCATCCATGCAATGATTGCCAGACGGGCTATGGATTTTGAAGTTCCCCAAGATTTGCGGTGCGTTGAGTTTTTCGCCGGCACAGACAAGTCATCTCAAATTGCCAAAGCCTTCACAGAGCTTGGCTTTCCTGCCCTTGCCTTCGACCTTCTTCGACACTTGGCAGTGAAAAAAAAGTCAAAAGTACAAAGACCAAACCACAAACAGTCATGTTTGATGTGCCACAATATGTGTTGTAATATAGATAAAAACTACTGTTGAGATTTGAGGGGCAATGCATGCGCAACCCAAGGAAGCGAGACACATGATTTGGCGTCCACGAATGGGCTGATCGCTTCAGTAGTGGTCTTGTTGTCAATTACTTGTGGTGGCCTTTGCCACTTGGGGACGGTTTGCACGAGCTTCAATTTCATGAACAGTGGAACCCACAAGAGGTCGATAGCATTTCCATTGGGTTGGCATCTTTTCCCTTACATGGAGCTTGGCAATGTTCTCGGTGCCAGATCTGCTCTTCTTGCCCTTTTGGCTTGGGCTATGGGTGCCTTTCCTGTGCTGGAGCAGCCTCTTCGTTCAGTGATGACTGCATTGCCTTCGTGGCAATCAGTTGTGGCCTACTTTCATGAAGCTGAATGCGCAGGTTGGATTGGGCAACGGCTCAAGTTGAACCACGTCAACATGGCAGCCTTCAATGCAGCAACTTTAAAGCCTACTGCTTTATATTCCACAGAGGCCTTTGACGCTTTGATGAACATGAACGCGCCGTGCAAAAGCAAACGGCCCAAACCTCAAGCTCCTACGACATTGCAGTGTCATGGTTTCAGACGTGCGTGGTGAGGGATTGTAAAAGTAGCTCCATGGTTTTAAGGTGTTCTAAGGACAACTAACTCAGCAAGCGTCTAAACTTTAACATCCATGGCCCAGGTATGAGGACACAAGTGGACGGAAAAGAGTGGTTGGAGGCTCTGGGCTCAAGCAGACACAGCTCTACACTGCAGAGTTTGGCAGGGCAATGGCTTCTTGGTGGGCGGCACATGGTCCTACATCAGCAGGGACTGGTTTTATATCAAAAGTTGGTCAAAAACGATGGATTGATTGAAGAACTGCATTCCTGGCAAAGCAGTTGGATTTTCACTACCTGTTGTTGACATTCTCCCGTGCATCCGTGCAGGAGGGAAAGGCGACGATGGTGCCTTCTACAAAGCTCCGATGTGTCTGTGGACGCAATGAAGGACTGTGCCCCCAAGTCAGATGCTATAGGAAAAGACGGTATAGAGGTTGTGTCCAAGTATGTGTGTGTGTGGTTTTCTGCAAAGAAAATAGGAGCACATCGCAACCTACTCTGCACTTCAGCACTTCAACTTCGACGAGGGCCATTTGGTGAAGGCTTTGCAGGAGCTTCGCAACGCATGGCGTGGAAATTAGGAGCTTGCTATGTAGTTCGATCTTTGATGAGATCGGTATTGCAAGTGCCAATTTGTGGGAAAAAAGGGTTTCTCAACAGAGGGGGGATGGACACGATCCTGGTATACCATGCATGTGATGAAGTCATGTTACATGGGGCTACGGCCTCCATGCGTAATGCACGTTGAATGGGGCCACGGCCTCCATAATGTTCTGTTACCATGATGTTGTGGTTCGAATGCTCAGTGTCACACATGTCATTCATGATGGTTGTGAGTTACTCTCATTTATGTTCAGGTTGATTCCCTCACGCAACATGTTGTTGACGGTTCCCAAAATGCGATTATGCGCGTGGGGCGGTTTTCTTGCACAATCTGCATGTCAAGAATGTATCCAATAAACGTCTCAAAACCTTTTTGTTTTTCTGTGAAGGAAAAGGCCGTGACCAACCCGTGACCACCCGTGACCTGGGAGAAACGCCCAATACTACTTTAGTGGGAACCGACCCGTGACCAACCCGTGACCACCCGTGACCACCCGTGACCGCCCGTGACCCCTTTGGCACTTCAAACATTTCCAAAATGTGTGGTTTCCGAGATTTTCCGAGGTTTCCGAGGTTCGATGCATGGCCCAGAATTTCCCGCTGCAGATCGAAGCATTTTGCACCCAAGCTGTTGGTTTCTATAGGTGTTGAAATGGCGGTTAAGGAAGAAGGTCCTTTTGCGCCACCTACTGACCCGTACATGGTTGGGATCATTCGGCCTGCGCATCAAGCCATGGATGCGGCAGCTCCAGGTGAGCCACCAAAGAGTGATTGATTGGATTTGAACGCATGGACATGGTCATGGTGAAGTCCTTTACATGGGGCTACGGCCTCAATCCATATATATATATATATGTTGAATGGCTGAATGGGCTGCAGCCTCCGATGAATTTTCAGTGTCGCACATGCCATTCATGTTTAAGCTGGGTATATTTTTTGATGATAAAATGAAAGCGTAACAACCACTTGGTCGAAATGATGTGTCCAGAGCAGAAGTGTAGTCAGACTGGTTTCCTTCTGTGCAGGTGCTGTGCTGCCAGCCCCTTCGAACGTTCCTGATGTCCATATGCATGTTGCAGGGCCTGGTTCCCAGCTTCAACACAACCATTCCCAAACTTTCACATGACCCATGTGAAGTGGTAGATCAATTTCTTAAGAAACAGGTGGAGTGTGGGCGGTTCTAGTTGTTTTGGGCTTTGATGAAACAAAAAAAGGATTGCTGTTAGCTGCCAGCTAAGTTCATGGTCGTTCATGTGAGTGCTGCTGAGGCAACGGGTGAATCTCTCCATGCCTTTGGCTGCTTTGCCCCCATGCGACACCCAAGTAAGCATGGCCACTTGTGGCGATACACAGGCTGGGAGCAAAACGTCTTATAGCATTTGCTTGATGAAAGGGGGGGGCCCGACCAATTTAGAAGAATGAAGGTATAGTGTGAAGTGTATCTAATGCATTTGAGACTCTTCTGTGATATAGGTTGAAAGGATCGTTTTACAAAAACCTGCTGGAGGTAGATGTGTCTACTTTGGAGACATTGCCAACCAACATGGACGTGGACGACCATGAAGCATCGCAGCAAACGGTGCAACCTGTGGCACCTGTTCCTACACCACCGCAGCAGCCTTTGACCCCAGAGGTTTTGCAGCCTTTGCCTGTCCCTGTGCACCAGTTGACCCCAGAGATCATTCAGGAATTGATTCAGTCTGGCAAAATTGTGATTCCTATGGCACCGGTGGCGCCAGTTCCTGCAACTGCAGTAGTGGCTCAACCTGCACAAACTGTGCAGCCCTCGGAACGTCCTGAACAGACTAGAGAGCAGCCTTCAAAACCTGAAGTCCCTGCGCAGCATGTGGTGCCGCAGCCACAACCCGTGCCGCCGCAGCAGCCTTTGGAAGTCCCTGCGCAGCCAGCGGCAACCCCTGCCCCACCAGTACGGTATGTTGAAGGAGAACTTCCCACCATGCATGAGCTTAATGGGGTTCCAACTCCGGCTCTGACGCAAGCGCCAGCCCAGCCCACTGTGGCGCCGGAGCAGCCTTTGGAAGTCCCTCAACCTGTGCCGCCGCAGCAGCCTTTGGAAATCCCTGCGCAACCTGTGGCGCCGGAGCAGCCTTTGGAAGTCCCTCAACCTGTGCCGCCGCAGCAGCCTTTGGAAATCCCTGCCCAACCTGTGGCGCCGGAGCAGCCTTTGGAAGTCCCTCAACCTGTGCCGCCGCAGCAGCCTGAAGGTCAACTTCCCCAACCTTTGGGAGTGCCCCCAAAGGAACCATTTCAACCCACCTTGGCCCCACCGCCTGCCCAGAAGCCTCAGATTGGTGATGCTGAGTTAGCAGCCATGGGTTGGAAAGTGGACAAAAGTTGTCGGCCCCAGGCCTCTCCTCAAACTTCTCCCAAACCTTCACCCCAAGAAGCTGCGGATGCATATTTGCAGCGGCTTAAGAGCAAGGTCTTTGATGCCGAGAATGATGGTGCAAAGACTAAGTCTCATGCGCCTCCAAGTGCTCCTGCTGGCTCTCAGATGCACAAAGCGCAACAGAACCAGGAAGCATTCCAAACAGCGAAAGAGCAGCAGCAAGAGTATTCCCGTCGAGCAGCAGCAAACCTGATCAGCAGACTGCAGAAAAACCCTGGACGCATGGAAAGATTTCCTGATCTCAAGAAGCTGGTTTTTAGTGAAACCCGCAAGTCTGAGTTGATCTCAACGCTGTGCGACCAGAATGGCGATTTGGAACAAGTCAACCTTAAGTTGATGGTGCAGGAAGAGAAAGGTCAAGCGCAGATTGCCAGGAAGAAAGCCGTGCGCTACACAAAGAAGCAGATGAATGACATGTACGGTGACGACGCCGCGACTGTCATGAAGCACAAGGAAGCCACCGGCATGGTCGAGGATGACGAAAACAATCCTGGAGGTTTTGTCTACTTGGTGTCTCAGAAGGAAGACGAGCAGGAGAACTACAACAGATCGAGTAGCTTGAACTTGTTGGATTTTTTGGGGGAAAGGTTTTGATAAAGCAGCCAAGCCTTTCCATCTTTAAACTCAAATCGCGCAACTTAATTTAAGATAACTATATTATACATTTAGAAACATATATGACAATACATATCATCTATACAACATATTTGTTATATTGCTGATTCCTTGATGATTCATGTGTTTCCCCGTCCAAAGATAAGTTTGATGCCATGGTCGACACTGAGGCACCACGCTAGCTACCAGCTCAATGCAAGTCACGCCAGACAACGCTGCAGCTGTAGAAGACCTTCTGTACTTCAGCCACATTAAGTGGTATGGTTTTGCTTTGTGTGTGAATGGTTGTTTTTTGTCACATGGCTCACATGGATTTGCAATTGTCTGAGGACTATGCCTCCTCCAAAGCGGCCGGTGAAGGAAACCCTGCAGTCCCCAACATCGACGGCGGGTACTCCATCTGTGGCTCCGGGGACGCCATTCCTGGGACCCCTCAGCATATCCAAGAAGACACGGCTGAGCCAGGCAAGAATAAGAGGAGGAAGACAGCTCAGGAGCAAGTTCCTCTGACACCTTTGCAGAAGGCTCACGACATGTGCCAGAAGCTCTTGAAGAAGAAGAGCGACGCCAGCAATTTGGGGCTGACGTTGCAATCAATTCCTTTCGCTGCAGCGCTCAGCACTGAGATGAACACCTACGCGAAGAAGTTTGAGTTGCTTGGCAGCCTTTGAAACATGTGCGTATGTCTTGTCCATCCTGTAGTGTTCTGTTTGTAGGGACGTGATCCTGATTGATCCTGTGACTCATGTGTGATTGCATGAGTTGACCAATGGATGGCTGCAGGGACTTGTACCTGAAGATCACAGCCTGTGTGAACCAGCAGAAGAACGAGGACACACTTTTTGAATCGTGTATGTGTGTGTGTGTTTCTATCTCTGTTTTTGATGGCGATTTTTTGCAAATGATGGCAGCCGTCATTGATCCTTGCCATGTGTTCAATTCCAGTTGTGGTGATTTCATGCAGGAGGATGACTACATTCCCCACGTGAGAGATTTCATTGCCCTTCAAAAGGCTTTTGACAAGCCATTCTCAGCTGGAAATGCCATTGCCCGGCAGCAGAACAAGAAGCCGTCTGGCAAAGCCAAGGCAAAGGCCGCTGCCTGAGATCGCTTTTGGCCTTCATGGTTCGAGTTGGGAACGGTGCACCTTGGGTTTGTCAAACCTTTGAAACTCACCAAAGAACGACTGCGTGAATATGCATGGTTGATAAATGTTGTGTAGGTGCCATCAGCGATGGAAAAGGTTTTTGTTGCCATGTGGCGCGTCTGGCTTCCCATTTGTATTTAGACCATTTGCTTGGGAAGGCTCAAAACCTGAGCTTTGCAAGGCTGAGAAACTTTGTGAGCCCGGGATGCAGCCTTAAGGGGATGCATTTGAGTTCTAGATTGAATGTTTGGCTGGAGTGGCCACGACGGCCTGCTACCTGGCCGCTGGGCGGCCTGATGAGCTATGGCATGCAGCTGTAGGTGAAGTGCGTGAACGTGAAAAAGCAATGACTTCGGAATGCTTTCAACACAACCTGCAAAAAATGATTCACGATAAGTTGCAAAGCTTGTTTCCATGTTTCCATCAAGTGGTTACGTATAGTTGGCATGCTTGGTCCATCTCCCACGCATGCAGGTCTAGCATTGATGAGAAACAGGAGCTTCCTCGGAAATACCGCAAAAAAGTGTTGCTTTCCAGGCATTCAGCTATGTTGCACAGCAGACAACGTCAAACGACTAATACTATGCATATGCAAGATTTCCCAAAGAACCACGCATGTGTGCTGACATGATGCTTTGAACCCGTCCCAGGACAGTGGATCAGATTGACAGTGAAGTGGTGTGCGGTCTGGCTGAACGGGCTGCAGAAGGAAAAATTTCTGTACGGGCTGTTGCTGAGTTTGGTGCAAATTTGACAAAGGATGGGTGCCCCAAGGCGTGTCAATGGCTTTGTGCGCGCAGTGACTTCAAATGTGTGACCATACGGTCTACCTTATTTCTTGCATACTAGAAGTGCCTGTGTGTTGACGCATGTATCTGCCTTGTTTGCAGGCGAGTGCCAAGCAAATCACTGGCGCGCGGGAGCGGGATTTCTTTCGCTGGGTGAAGCTTCCGCTGGAAATCTACAAAGCCCAAGTTTCTGTCAAAACAGATGCTAGCAAAAACTCCAGAATGGATGGCCGGGCTGTCGCTGACGTAGCAATGGTCCTGCCAAGTGATCATTTGCAAGCTCTCCATGATCAAGGGCCAAGTGTGTCTTACCACAACCATGCAAACAATATGAATTCTGTTGTTCACGCAAGCCAACAATTGACCAAGCGACCCAAAATTTGCTGTGAGGTAATGGCTCAGTGCTTGGGGTCATGGGCTGACTTTCGCAAGATCTGGAAGGCTTCTGGATGTGATGGCTGGGACCAAGTGGCATCAACCCATATACCCATCATCATACATGAAGATGGTGTGCCCCATTTTTCAGGCGTCTCAAATTGCATCATGAAAAACATGTTTTGTTGAAACCTTGAAATGCCTCACGTATGACTAGAGTCCTTTGCAACAACTTGATTTGAAACCCGCTTCTGGTCTGAGGCAGCACGGCCACCGTCTGGAGTTGGAGCACTGGCTGCGTCAGGGCCGACTCTTGGAAAACCAGACACGCCGTTGCGGTGATGGGAACAAAACATGTCACAGAGGAAACCCGGTCTGAGATTTGCAAGATTTTGGCATGGGACCTCCGGCAGCTGGAGTCCGGCAGCTATAGCTTCGTGAACCATAACGGTCACTTCCATCCTTCGGGCTCCAAACGGGAATCATTAGCGGGGGAACCTTTGCCAGTGAAAGCAGCACCTGGGCTGCAACACATACCATCGATGGTTTTCTTGAAAATATCTAGATAATATCATAATCATGTGCGCATGAACACTTATATAGGTCATGCATGCAAGGGGCCGAGGCCTCATATCACGGTGACAAATGCAACCCTCATGCATGGGTGATTCTAGGTCAGACATGTGATGAACATGTTGCTTCATTGGCATGTTTGGAAACCCTCACGGCATACTAAAGCAGTGGAAATTTGCGACTCTGACCGCCCAGGCTTTCCTCTTTTGGAAGGGTGACATGGAGGCCCACGCTTATTCACACCTTTTGACCAGGACAGGGAGGTACTACCGATGCGCCCAGTGCTGTGACTTCTGCCTCGCGACAACTGACAAGAGATCGCCGGAGTTGAGCTGGGGACACCTCACACTAAGATCTTTGTGGCGCAGTACATTGACAATGTCAGACCCAAATGACATTTCGCCTTGGGCACTGCATGTACCACGCTTTCAAAAGGACAAGCGTTCGTTAGATTTGCTCCATGTTGTCCATCTCGGCACCCTGAGGGATTTAATCCCTGCTGCAATCATCAGCAGTCTTGAAGACGGATCGCTTGCAGCCTATTACGGGTTGAATGGAAGGCCTTGGAATGAGATTTTGCATTACTTCAGCCGCCACGCGGCAGTCTGGGCGAAGGACAAACACATGTTATTGGATATCGGCACGCTGACAATGAGCAGGCTTGGTCGGCCCACGTATCTGCATTGGCCGTTCCCGGCTTTAGATACCAGAATAAAAGCCGCCAAAACACGAACCCTCTTTGCGTTTGTGACATGGCTTATGGTACAGTTGTGTGCTTCAACAGAGTTGGACACAGAGGGCAAACAGATGCATGCCAAAATGCGTTCGGTATCCTGTTGGGCTTTGGACACTGCCCTGAGCTGCTTCAATATAAATGAGGACGTCGTCATGCCAGATTCGACAGTTCAACAGACCGTTTGGCTCCTGCGCCTTCACTCGGCCTCGTACGAGTGGTTGGCGGGCTCATGCTTCCTTGAAGAGCGTCTTTTGTACAAGGTCCGCCCGAAAACCCACTACTTCGTCCACATGGTCGATCACTATGAAAGGACAAAGATCTGCTTGATGCACCTGGCGACCTTTGGCGACGAAGACTTTATGGGCAAGATCAGGTCCATCTGCCAGGCCTGCCACGGGGGCACGTATATGGTGACCTGGGCCCGGAGATACGCCTTGAAAAGGGCACTCCAGTGGAAGCAGATGAAGCGCGACGCATAAGAGAAAAATGAGTTACGCGCGTGGTGATCGGTCATGAACCATGTGCTTATGAATTGCTTTTCTTTTCTGAAGCACAATGACTACATGAAGGTTCCATGTGACTATGTTATTCTTTGTAGCACCATGTGAGAAACAATTGTGGCTGGTGGACCGTTGATCCTGTCTGAGTTTTCTCGCATTAAAAAAAATATATATATTCTTTTTTAGATATTACACATATATTACATGCGTATGGGTGACATGGCCAATCCGTCACACAATTGGTTCAACATCACAACGAAAAGCGACCGCTTGCACACTTTTACATTCACATTGTCAGTTCTATTTTTTCGGGCATCCTCGCTGAGAGGGTGTTCTTTCCAAGGGAATCCACTGCTTGAACTTACGTGTCACCAGATCGCCACGCTATACACGTTTCATAGAAACGCCCGGGGGCGATGAATGACTGGCACCGCGCTTCATAGAAACGCCCGGGGGTGTTTATTTGGATGCATGACCGGCACCGCACTTCATAGAAACGCCCGGGGGTGTTTCTCCCCAGAAACATACGCCCATGGGTGTTTATTTTGATGCCGGGTGTAAAAGATACGCCCAAACCCCAGATTGGTACCTCCAGGCAGGAGGGCATGGCCGATCGCGCTGGTCGCGACGAGGTAGAAAAGCAAGTAGGCCAGCCATGCACGCGCCGTGGAGGGACCGTCGGTCTCCACGCGCGTGGGAGTAGCGCGGACAGCGAGCTCCATCTTGGCCCGAAGATGGCTGAGTGATGTCAACCAGTCCTAAATGCGAGACGAGTCCGATCGACGAACCCGGTGTGAGGTTGGGGTTGTGTAAAGGTTCAAATGGCCCGCCCCCCCGAAGTACGCACCTTATTCGGCTCGACGGCTCCCGCTAGTTGCGGTGCGCCCACGCTGCCAGCATGGCTTCAGTCTCCTGCCAGGCCGTTTCGTCTGGGCCCGGCGGTGGGAGTCTGTACCATTCCGTCGTCCGCTCCACTGGCGTCTCGACTTGAATGCCTTCGAGGGCGCTCGGCAGCTGAGTAGTCCTCCATGTGTCCGGGCGAGACAGGAAGTCGGCTTCCTTGTTCGCTGTCCCCGGAAGGTGGATCGGGTTGAGCTCGGTCAGGCCTAGGGCCTCGCACGTAATGGCGAGTTCCGCCCCGAGGTAGTTCAAAGTTGAGTTGCTGTTCGAAAACTTCTGGGTGAGAGCCAACGCAGTCACGGAGTCGGACTGGATGTTGATGGCCACATTCACCGAGGTAAGAAGCTTGCCCCAGTGTTTGAGGGCTGCGAGGATGGCTAGCGTTTCAACTGCGCCTTGAGAGCTAGACTCGCCTAGGGCGAAGCCCAGCGTCTTGGCATCCAGTTCGCCCACTGGCGAGGCCATCGCCTTGGTCACTCGGCCATTCACCAGGAGGATGGCGCCTAACCCCAACGGGGATGCGTCTGTCATCAGGGCGACTTCGGCCTTGCCGCTCTTGTAGAGGTTGTATTTCCTTATGGGCTTCTCCTTCGCCGCGGCCAGGTACGTCAGGAGCCACTGCCTTGCCCTTTCCACTCTCTTCACAGGGACCAGGTGGTCTTTCGGCCTGTCATCCTGGCGCCTGGATCTCCTCTCAGCCTCAATGCCGCTTGCTTGATCGGCTTCGTGGGAATAGACCCACCTGGCCCTTGGCAGCACGCCCGCCAACCATGCCACTCGGCCCGCTGCCTGCCTCAGCTCGTTGATCCCTATCGCGCCTTTTCGGTCCCACGCTTCGAGTTGCTTGCGTAGTTCATCCATGAAGCGTTCAGGGAGCGTGACCATGAGGTAGTCATAGTCAGGTGCCACCAGCTTAAACTTCACCCCTAGCGAGTCGTCCAAGTAGACTTGGTGCATACCCTTCTCCGCCGGGATGATTGATTGGATGAGCCTTGCTGTCATGGCGGCTACCCTGCTCCATGTCAAAGGGGCTGTTTTGTAGCCGAACAGGAGCGCCACAAACAGTATAGCCAGCGTTGTGAATCCAGCGCCGGCGTGAGGCAATGTCCCTTTTCTTCTTCTGCGATGGCCAGGTGCATGAAGGCGTCCGACACATCTATCAGCACCATCTCCATCGTCCTTTCTTGGGGCGTCGGCTTGTCGGCGCGCGCGCATGCATCTTCCTCAGCATGGTGATGGCGTCCGAAGGCCTCGGGAGGATCAGCCTTTCGGGCAGCACAGCCTTGTTGTTGCCTCCCGACCTCCTCAGATCGATTATGATCCTCCTCTTCTTCGACCCATCTTCCTTCTTCTTCACGATGAGGCCCAGTTTAGACACGGTGACGCCCTTGAAACCAGCTTCTTCCGCCTCCGTCTTTTCGATGGGGATGGCATATCCTTGCTCCACCAGCCTGTCGATCTCTACCTTTGCGTCATCCTCTTGCTCCCGGACGGACGTGTAGTTTCCGATGTCTTCTCTGAGGCTTTGGGCTGCTTGCCAGTCATCTTGTCTCATGGGAGAGTCCTGCTTCAAGGCGGGTGGAAAGATGTTGCATGACTTGATGGAGCAGTTTATGCCCAGTGGCACACCAGATTCAATCCACTTTGGGACTTCCACTTCCGGGTCATTGCCTCGTCTGCCCCAAGCTTCATACAGGCTCTGGTCCAGTGGGGAGGTGTAGTTCCATTTCCCTTTCAGCTTCAAGGCCGGTGCTCCCTTCGCCCCTGTCAGCTTCTTCAGCTCCTCCTTCCGTTTCTTCACCCACTTCTCCTCCAGGGTACACTCAGGCGCGCCGTACGTCTCTGCGACCTTCAGGCAGTGTGGGTAGTGGTTGCAATGACGCTCCCAAGCTCCCATTATCCTTCGGCCCAAATTCTGCAATGTCGGCATGCCCTCAACCACCTCCGCCGGGTTCTTCATGCCGCCCACGAAGACCTGCTGTTCGAACTTTTGCTCCTTCTTGGCGTCCACCTTCATCAAGCCATACTTCCCTTCGCCTGCTTTCCAGCTCAGATCCTTCTCCGTGGTGTCCTTCCGGCTCGCCTCGGTTCCCCTTCCTCTGCTCGGCGACCTTGGTCTCTTCTGACCCCTTCGTGGTGACGTCGATCTCCCCCTCGGCTGACGTTTGCCCCCTTCACCGCTTTTCCCTCTGCTTCGGCTCCTCTTCCTCGTGCTCCCTTCGCCTCGTAGTTCCTCGCGGATCTGTTGGGGTAGTTCTGAAGCCACCGCGTCCAAGTTGTGCTTCTTCCGGCTGGGACCAGGTTCAGCGACGGAGATAGCTTCACCCCTTCCATCCTCCGCTTCGTCCTCATCTCTGTGGCTGCTGCGTCCCCAGATGACAGCCCATCATGGAATTGCTCCAACTCCTTCATCCTTCCTTCCAAGAACTCTGCAGTCGCCATCTTCTCGAAGTGGTCCATCAGCAGAATGGCATACTTGTTGCAGAGGGCCCAAGGGTACTCGCCTGATTCTTGGGAGGCTTTCTTACCGATGATGGCCTTGTGTTTGGCGTCCCCACACTTGCACGAAGCGTTCATCTGCTCGATGCCGAAGAGGGTGCCTGCAAACTGTTGGGGCTTCCAATGCCTCTTGCTCTGTCGGCTTGATAGGCGCAAGTGTTGAAGAAGGAGACCTTCACGCCAGGCAACCGAAGGAACCTCACCATTTCAGCCATGCCCCAAGCGGACACGTGTTCTTCGTGTTCAGATGGAGGTGGGTTTTCCATCGTCACTGGCTTGACCACGATGGCTGTCGTCGGGGTCTTGGCGATCTCCTCGGCTATGTTGGTTGAGCGGGCCAACATCGCCGTCCCTCTGTCGCACTCCTGCTGCTGTCTTTCGTCGTTTGATTTGCAGCCGTATGGTTCCGACCTAGTTCGAACTGGTTCCGGAAGGCCTTCAACTCGCCTGAACCTCAGTCGGGAGTACGTGGAGCAAGGGAAGCCCGAGTGGTACCCGTCGATGAGCCCCTCACGAGCCCACTGAAGGTGGGTGTTGTAGGGCTCGTCCGCACAGAGATCTTCGCCCCAATCCTTCTCCGTGGAGATGACTTCAACCTTGAGGTTCCGCTTCTTCGCGATGCGATGGATCTCGCCTCCTAAGGGGTCTCTCAGTCCCGAAAAGTGGTGCAGGAACCTGAACTTCCTGGCGTGCACGTAGTCGTATATTTTCTTGTCCATGTCTTGTTTGACCTTCTCTTCATGCCCGCCTTCTTTCTTCGAATCCCCTTCACTTGGATCTCTTGCGCTTCCTTCGTCATCTCGTTCATCTCCACCTCGAAGTCCAGAGCCTTGGGCGCTTACTTCTTGCTGGTGCATTTGCTCGCAGGGTGACCCGGCGACCCGCACGAAGAGCATCTGTGAGCCCGCTTGGTGGTGTTCGCACACTCCGCACCCGGTGGCAAGGATCCACATGGCGAGTTCCCGTTGTTCCAAGAGAAGCAAATACTCTCCGAGCCTTTGGTGTTCTTCCCTTTCTTCCCGCCTCCTTTGCTTCTTTGACTTCGGTCTGCTCCTGAATCTCCGCGGCTTTCTCGGAGTCGTTGGAGTTCTTCCCTTTCGGATTGCCATTTTCGTTTCTTTGCTTCTTTTCTGTCCCGATTCGCTTGTTTCCTTCCCGAGGGTGATGCCGCGGGTGAGGAGGATCCGTAGGTGCCCGATTCCATCATTGGTTGAAGTGCCTCCAGCCCGCCACGCAAGCTCCCTTGGGCGGTCGTCTCCTGAGGGGTGAGCATTCGTCCACGGGCTCCCGAGGCTAGCCATGTGAATCTGGTCCTGCCAAAATTTCAGTTCCCCCGTGACCTGTTTGAACACTGTTTCCCATGGTTTCTTCTCGTCGCAGCCCAGCGGGGGAGTCTTTCCTTCCTTCGTGTCCAGGACGATCTTTAGCTTGAGCCGTGACAGAAGTTCTGATCTCGCCATCTCGTCCGCCGAATACACCAGGTGCCAGGCATCTGGGTAGAGCCTCGTCAGCTTCTCCACGAAGAGTTCGTAGGCATGAAGGGGCCAGCGAGCTCTCTTGCAGCATGATCATGGCCGTCGTGAACACTCTGTAGCAAGCCCGCCGCTGGGTGAAGTTGGCAGGTCCAGGCAGCTCCTTCGACACGTAGCCGTCCGAGGTGGGTATGCATGTCCTGTACTTCGAGGCTCTCAGTGCTTTCCTCCCGAACGGCACGAACACTCCGAAGTCGCAGTAGGGTGGTTTGCCGAGGCTCAACTTCTTTCGAAGGGCTGACAGTTGCTCTATCGTGGGCTCTTCTTCTTCTTCTGGAAGTGCACCTGTCGTGTTGATGAACTTCTGAAGCAAGCCCATCTTGTCCTCCTCGTTCAAGACTTCGAACTCTCCATCGTCCCCCTGGTCGAGGACTTGGGTGAATTTGAGAGTCCTCTCCTTCGTGTCCTTCTTGATGTCGACGGGCGCGGAGGTCCTTGCCGTGGAGCTCGGTTGGGATGAAGTCGTACTCCAAGGGTCCTCTTCGGTCCAGTCGTCCCACTGTCCCCCTCCTCGAACAAACATCAGCCGCCTCGCCAATTTCCAAACCAATCCCACCTGGGCAGCTTGAATTGCTGTGAGATGGGAGGTGTCGTCCAAGGTGGCCTGGGTCAGGCTGGCTGCGACGACTGGCCCAGGGAGGGCCGCAAGTAACCTGAGATCGTCTCCCGGGTTGCCAGCTTCGGCCGTGAAGGCCGTCCACAAACCAGGGGCCACCTCGAAATGGGACAGAAGGTCCCTCGTCATCGCCCAGGCAGCACAGCGGCTGCCGGAAACATGCCAAGCCACCGCGAGGCGCCCCAGGAGGCGCCACACCATGGCCCCCCAAAAAGGGGGAAAAACACAAGCTGGGTGGCTTGAGCCAAAATGGCATTGCCACCCAGCTTTCCCCGCCCAGTGCTCCCTAGACTTGTCATGCGGAAAAACTTCGCTTTGCCTTCAAGTGAAACCCAGTGTACGAAACGCCCGACCACAGACAAGGCACCTGCGGAGACAGCTTGCCGGGCGATGCAGAGGCTTTGCGCCCAAGTTCCGGGCAGACATTAGTAGCAAACATGCGGCACTCAAACTGATGAAGGGACACCAAATGATTTGCATACGTTTGCAAACGTTGCGTTTGCAAACGTTTGCAAACGCTCCAAGATCCAAGATCCAAGATTCCAGGGAAAACTTCTTGGATCCAGGAGCCTGAGGATCCAAGACTCAATCCTGGTGACGAAGTCCTCTTATTCGTTTACTATGACATGTCTTCAATTCCAGGTGTTCTTCTAAGAAGTTTTCCCTGGAATCTTGGATCTTGGATCTTTGATCCTGAGGCTCCTGGATCCAAGAAGTGGAGCGTTTGCAAACGTTTACAAACTTTGCGTTTGTAAACGCAAAAGCAAGTACTTTGTATTAAGTGTTAAGGCATGATGGTTTTAAGGAAGGTACCACCAAAACAACAAGAAAAAGTAGATCCAAAAAAAGTTTTTAAAAAATATCGAACACACTGCAAATACCAATGAAATCTAAGATAATGTAGGTTGTTTTTTGGGGGGTACCATATATGTGTATGGACTTCTTGCGCCAAGTTCAAATTCAATCGATGCCTGCTATTCTAAAAGCAAAGTGCTCTTAAAACCAATCCGTCCACTGCTTAGAGGAGGCCAAGAATGTATAAAGCAAATGGAACAGTGTGTATTGTAGTCTGTTGAAGCAATGAATCTGTCAAGGTTGTTGTAAAGGGCTCTGCATCTCAGGCTCTTCTGCTGCTTCTGCATCTCGGTTTCCTCGTCCCCATTTTCCTTCCACAAGCCGCGGTACAGAACCTCCGTTCGGAGTACCAAGAGCAAAAGCAGGCTGCAAACCGGATCCACCCATCTTGATCCCCACAGGACTTCATCCAGTAGAAGAAGCTGGTCATGTGTAGATGATGCGCAGAATCTTCGGGGAAAGGGAAAAAATGCTGAAACATGCTGGGAATGATGTCTGTGCCCTGTGCCTCCACGGACGCATCATGCACCTGGCATGCAAAGAGGATGCATAAATATAACGCAAGATATATAATATGTAATATTACTTATTATATAGTAATATATTGCTGTACATATAATTAGTGATATATAAAAATATAGAGAGAGAGATAGAGCATTCAGCTGCTGCAAACAAAAACACATCTGTTGAGTTGAGCGTGATGATGCATCGAGCTCAGACTGATAGCTTTTAATCTGACCAGAAAGCCTTCTTCCACCCATGGAAGCGGCCGCGTTGGCTCAAGGTGCCCAATGCATTGGGGAAAGCCTTGTGATCTCTCGCATCAGGTGCACAGTCCACGGAACTCAATGCTTACTTCGTTAGCTGTTTGGGTAGAAAGCCTTCCTGGTGGCTGTCGCTACCTACACTAAGCCTCAAAAATCGCTGTCCAAGATGTTCTAGCCGATTCTAGCCCATTTCACGTCTTGACGGGAATCCCTGGTTGACGAACGTCTACTGCAGGAGGAGGAGCATGATGAACGTCATGGAAGAGCATTTCATTCCAACGATGCTTGCCGCCCACAGCCAATGCCATGAGGTTGTGCAAGAGAGGCCAGGTGCGTCCCGGATCCTTCGCACAATCGGTTTGGAAAGTCTGAGCAGAACAAGCATGTTGAGCCAAATATCCTTCAAACCCTGTTCTTGTCAGTGTGACAAAGCATCTCGAATCCATGGGTGCGTACCCCACCAAGGCGCATTGGCCAGGAACTTGTTCCATGGCAAGGAATGAGTGAAGTTCGTGATGAACATCCAAGCCAGTGAGAATCCAACCCGTGCAGAGCAGGTCACAGGCAACACAAACCTGGAAATCAGGGGCCGAACATGTGCAGAGCAACAAGACCTTGGGGCCTCAACACTTCGAAGGAGTTTCCAACGCTGGCGTTGAATAAATATTAGAGAGGAGGGGTCGAACAAAAGGTAGCTACTAAGTCATGGTTGAGACGGTCGCAAGAGCAGCAGGAGCAGAAAGAGCAAGAGCAGCAAGGGCAGCAGCAGGGATGAATATTCATTCCTTAGAGCGTCAAATTCATGGCAGTTCCCCACCTGCCCAATACAAAACGAGGAGAATTCAGGTAGCCTGAGGCTACCTTTCGTGAAAAACATAACCAAATATATGAAGTATGTTGTGTTGCATACAGCTTGGGTTCTATAATTTATAGTAATATAAAGTACACTAGGCGTGACTTCATCCCTAATTACATACCTCTCAAAGCTTGCAATAGAAGGAAGGAAACTCGGCAGAGTTGATACCAATCATACTATGTGCACTCGTTCGTGTTGTTGTGCTGTTGCCACTGCTAGTCTTGCTACTGATCTTATTGTTCTTCGTTCTAGCTGCTGCAAATGTCAAGAACGTCTGCAAAGAACAAAACATGACTGCGCCCCGATCCTTTCAGTAAAAAAAAGAAGGGGCTGTGCTTGAGACCAGGAGCCTCCAGCCCTCGCTCAGTGGTCGACCCAATGGCCAAGTACCCAGAAGCCAGACACCTGCAATGATCGCAGAAAATCAGAGGTCGAGACTGCACAAGTTCTTCGTCTCTCACTCACAAAAGGATATTGAACATCAATGGAACAGCCAAGCGCACTTGGCGCCGTCTGCATGCTGCAAGGTTCGGAAGCTGACAAAGGGAAAACATCTTTAAAGTAACCGAGAAGCAGGTCCACATGAACAGCACAAACGCGTTGTGCTTCACTCTCCTGGGAAACCACTTCGACCAGAACCTCAGCTCCACATTCCAGGATGGCTCTCGGCCCGCAAGGCCAAGAAATGCTTCAGTCAGACATGTGAAGGACTAGACTAGAGCCCCTAGTAGCTTCTTGTTGCTAGTAGCATCCTTGTTACTACTAGTAAGGCACTTGTTACTAGTAGCGATGCACTTGTTCCTAGTAGCTTCTTGTTGCTAGTAGCGATGCCAGGAGCCCCGAACGTAGCATCAAATACAAACTAACTCCAAGGAACTCCCTGTTGCACTTGCCTCCACCTCCCTCTTCAGGAAAACTGAGCCACCATTCCACGGCAAATAGCGCCCCAGTGTCGTTGAGTCCAAAGAAATGAATTACCGGAATCCAAGGCACAGTCAGCAAGTACCTGACAACAAACGAAGCCAACAAAATGTCAACATCACGACTCTATCAACTCTACATGAGGCAACTCCCCACTCTAGCCGCAACTTGTATCAAAGCTTCAAGTAGCCACGCAAGTGAAGTAAAGGCCGGCTGCATGTTGAGGCATCCGATGCCATGCGTGCTGTTCGTCAGCTCAGGGCAACTCAACAAACTCTTATCTTTTATCTAAAGAGAAGCCCAAGAGAAGCTAGTAGTAACAGGTGCCTTACTGGTAGTAACAGGTGCCTTACTACTAGTAACAAGAAGCTAGTAGTAACAAGAGAATGTAGATGTAGAAGCCCTTGAGCAAAGGTGCTTGTACCAGTTCGGTCCCATTGGGCCAGCCCACTGCTGCAGAGCATAGTGAAACTCCTGGTCGGAAGTGGACAGCTGCTTGACGTCGGCGCAGGAACATGGACTCAAGTCAGACATGTGAAGGACTAGACTAGAGTGACTGGAAGACCAGATAGCAAAAACTGACAATGTTGAAAAGATCTGAAAAGGCCAAGGCGGCCAAAGTCCCAAAAACCAACGCTTGCACCGAAAAGAAAAACAATCTATAATATCAATCTATCATTCATGGAGTGTCATCTACCCATCCTTTTTAGATCTCCAGCTGCTGACGCAAACTCAGCTTCAATACGTCGAAGCTTCAAAACATGCCACAAAAATGGAGCGGGAGGACTACCTATGCGTGCCTAAACGCAAAAGTGTTTCAGCTTCGTAGAGTATGAGGGCGATTAAGAGTGCCCGGCTCCGTCTAATTTAAGGACAAGAAATCCTCGAAAGTACAAGTATGCTGCTCAGTCCTATGATTCTTTGTATGAATTTATTTGAGATACCTCAAGCAAGAGATATCCAAGTCAATCTTGAAGTCCACTTTTGAGGGAACCGAACCGACTGAATCGGTCTAAAGGTTTAAAACCAAAAAGCCGGTTGGTGCTCTCAATCTAAAACGATGTAAAACGCCTTCGGTTATGTCGCTCAGCCAATGCTGTGGGAGTTGCGGCGATTGTTCTGCTCGGAACAGACCGGAATTGGTTCGACTGGTGACTGGAGTGTGGCAGAAGCATCCAGTTTCTACATCAACCAAAGGGTACAGCGAACATTAGGAAACTAACCAAAAAAGAAAAGTTGCCGTGTTGTCAACAGGGAGGTGAGCAAATTGGGCACCATAGGTTCTAAACGTCCAAGCAGTGCCGGAATGTAGTGAATGAATGTGCAGGCACCTCTCCTCAGGATCCCAACCAAACTCACCTTGCATCAACAAGTCGACGGTGCTGGCATGGTGTCGAGCATGTTCCAGCACAAACTCCTCGAAGGAATGGCTTCAATCTACAATCGAACGGATACAAGGTGAAAACTATCATGAGTTCACGAATTGGCAACTAAGAAGACAGAATCCTCAATGTCCGTTGTAGCGTGTGTTTCAGTGCTTCAGTTGGGGTTGCCTTAGAAGACACCAAGTCGGCCAACAAACAAAAATATGTCAAACAGATTGTTCAACAAGCAAGAAACGCGTAACATGCTGTAGAGAGCGCTTCGAAACAGGTTGTGAGTGGCTATTGAGTATTTATGAGCATAACTTTGTGAAAGACCTCTCAAATCCTGCCTCCCAGGGCAGGGAGAAGAAGTCCGAGAACGGGTGCGTCAAGAATTTCCTTCAAGAGCTCACAAACCCAAATGCAAACAGTTGGCCAAAAACATGTCAAGGTCATTGGAACCTCCGTCCACCTCCTAATTGTTTAAGTACACTATGAGGTTGACCTCAAGATTTCATAGCAATCTGCTGCAGCTCAGAGTCTGGAACTCATAGGGCGGGAACGTAACGCCATGCATCACCTAGGCTACAACAAAAGTAAATGAGTATAATAATAGGATTATCATCGCCGGACCCAGGCTAACTAGGTGAATCTTGATGCGAAAACAAAGCGGGAAACAAGCAAATCCAAAAAGCAAAAATGCAAAATAAGAAAAGCAAAATAAAAAGAAAAAAAACAAATGAAAAAGCAAAAGCAACAAAGAAGAGCAAATCCAAAAGGCAAAAAAAAACAAATGAAAAAGCAAAAGCAAAAAACAAGCAAATCCAAAAAGCAAATGAAAAAGCAAAATCAAAATACAAGCAAAACCAAAAAGCTTTAAAAAAATAAGTAAATGAAAAAGCAAAGCAAAAAAAGCAAATCTAAAAAGCTTACTTTTTTGCTTTTGCTTTTTAATTTTGCTGTGTTTGCTTTTGCGTTCTCATTTGCTTGTTGATTTCACGTGTTTTTGCTTTTGCTTTCTTTGCTATTGATTTGTATTTGTGTGCTTTTGTTTTTTCACTTGTTTGTGCTTGTTTGATTGTGTTTTTTTGTTTTTGCCTTTTCATTTGATGCTTTTTTGCTTTTTGGAGTGATTTTTGTGTTTGCTTTTTCATTTGCATTTTTTTGGCTGTTTGGGTGTGTTTTCTTGTTGCTTTTGCTTTTTCGTGTGTGTGTTTTTTTGCTTTTTGGATTTGCTGTTTTTGCTTCTGCTTTTGGTGTTTTTTTGGATTTTTTCTTTTTTTTTTGCAAAACCATCAAAAATAGCCTAAGCCTAAGTGGTTTCTTAATAATATATATCGGATATTCTTACTAACTATTGCCATTGCTTCCACCTTCCCACGCAATTCGCACCTTCTTGACAGCATCCTTTCTTAGCCAAGGTTCATCATGGTCGATGTAAATCTGTTGAATGCAGATGTATGCAAAGGGAGCTCCAAAGAGAAGTGTGCATGTCCAGTAGTGCTCCGGGAAGGTCGCAAGGGAAGCACAGTAAGTGAGAATCATGAGACATTGCACTACGAAGATCGCAGTCAGCCTTGCGCTGTTGCGGGATTTAGCAATTTAGCCATACCTCCCCCAATACCAAACACACGTTGATTGACAAACTTGATTATGCACTCGTGTCCAGGCACAAGGACTCAAAAGACTTCAGGCTCTAATCCACGGTGAAAAGAAGAATGAATTGAAAGAAACAAAAGAAGTGCCAATCTCTGCAAAGAACACGTTCCACATGTACACCATCTGCTCAGGGGTGATTTTGGTAAACCTGGGTCGTGAGGCAGAACTGCCAAAAGCGTTTGTGCTCTTCGGCTATGATATGGATCGGGTCACATAAGCAATCACAGCGGGACAAGAGATGTTCTTCGTTAGTACAAGCAAGGTTGAGCAAGAGTTTCGAGGCAGCAAAGTTGGAAGGGAGTCGCTTCACTTCAATCAAGCTGAATGCAGCGAAGAGTCAGGAATGCTAAGTTTTGTGGCATGGGGTCTGGCTTGTTCGGGATGGGGAAGAGGCGTCCTGTTTTCAAGCTCCTGAGGCAAAAGTCACATTGTTCCAGATCGTGCGCCCAAATGAAATCCAAGCACTTTCATTGCCTCGCGATGAGATCTTTTGTCCAAAGGCCGAAGCTCGATTTGTTCAATGCTGTCCGATATTTGCCACTCTTGACACCCGCAATTGTCTTCGCCTGACTTTTCTCGTTTCTGTGGATCAACGTCACTCGGCCATCTGAGTCCTGTTTTGGTCGTTCTTCTCAACGGAGAGGATCTTCTCTTTGCTCTTGGCCATGCTGCTCGGAGCATGGGGATCACCCTCATCTGGCTGTGCCAATTTCAGAGCCGCGATCTCATGGTCCCGCTCATACTTCTTCTGCAACCTGATTCTTTTTGATGATGGATGATGATGATGATGATTTGATTGAGTGGGAACAGTAGGGTGCCACCAAAATTGGTGCCTGAAGCCAACAGCCCAAGAAATCTTCGGCCAAATCGTCCTTCCAAACTCTCAAGCAATACTTGGCTACCAGTAAGCAGAGTCAATACTGCAGGCCTATGGCCTATGTCATGCCACGTCGTGCGCTATAATCCCAATATGGGTATGACGTCCCTGAAGTCCCCCACAGAAGCAAACATTGACATCAACGCTTGCAAAGATGTCTGACCTTATCATCTAGGACATTTGAGAACTGCCCCGCAGATTATGATGACACCATGCTTTCGCAGCCAAGTGCATCCCTGCGTCCAAGCAACTCTGCCAAATACTCGTCGGCACCATAGAAAATGGACGCTTTGGAGTGCCCAGCCTGAAGGGAGGAGATGCACCACACAAACTCACCAAACACGCCTAAAGAGTGTTTTTCTAAATCATTCTGACTACTAGTATGTTACTATGTCCATGAATTCGAGTAAGTTGGCTGCTGGCAAGAATTGAAATACAGCAACGCCTGAAAGGACATTGCATGGTGTCATATTTGATGTGTATTTCAGGACTCCAAGCTTCACTAATTACCGAATCATAAACAATATCCATGCTGCCACACTCCATGGGCGAGCCGTTGCAACAGAAGCTTGCGAGCCTTCTTCTTGTCGAGCAAAGGTGCACTCGCCATGGATTAAAGAGCACACGAGGCTCACAGGGTCCGTGTTCTCGAGACTCAAAGCTCGATTTCGCACGTCAACAGAATGTGCTGTGCGCTTCTTGTCGCGCCATAAAGATCCATAAAGCAACCAAATCGGCTACTCCGTCAGTTCAGTGGTGGGACCCGTGGGTGGGCAATGTCTTCATTTGACAAACAACCTGCTACTGACAATAGTTATCCAGTTATCCCCCTAAAAGACACCGTTGTCCTGGAAGTCTCCTGCTTTTTCTCCTACTTTTCGTAGCAAAATAAGCTAGTTGCCTCCCAAAATCAGAAAGTTCTTACATTCGCGTCAGGGTCTCCAAAGGATACAAAGCTTTGTCAATGGAAGCGAAATTTCTCGGTGTTCTCATAGACTTCAACGTACCATCAGAAGGGGAAGCTGCCTTAGCCATTCTTAGCGTGCGGGAACAAGAGTTCCTAAAAGTTCCAGATCCTCGTGCTTTGCTCAGGCTAGTCAGCTAGTCTCGGACCTCTCCCATCCTCCAGCCGTCTGGATTTGGGTCGCAAACTGGCTTGGTGAGAGCTTTGCCCGCCTTAATTGGCACGCAACAAGCAGTAGGGCCGATTCTCGCGGTTGCACTTGAGGTCATCTCAAAAACTTTGGATGATTTCTTGAATCCTCAACTGACGCACTCTTCGTGCCTGCCCACTGTATTTCGAGTCTAGATCTGGAATTTCATACTAAGCAGTCCCAATGCTGCTGAGATACAACAGAATCCTTTACTGGCTACTGTACTCTGCTTGTCTGACCTGCCTTTTATCCAGGATTTTTGAAATGCCATGGATCCATGCAATCTGCAAACATTTAAACGACTTGGCCTGCTCCGCACAGCTTCTCAAATTACTGAGTGTGAAGTGCCTTGGTGCAAAGTTGTTCTCAGATTAGATTTAAACGTGCAAAGGTGTTTGATAGACTGTTTGATAGTTTTGTCTTATGACATCACTGATGTTCGAGGGATTGGAGCACCTTTGAATAACAGGACTTTGTTTGGATCCCCGGGAAACTTTGAGCCTCTGGGGCCATAAGGATGTTGAGAACCTAGCATGCACGTCTCCAAAAAATGATGAAATTTATGGAAAATCTCGGGTCTTCAGCTACATGTACGGTCTTTGCCGCCCGGGCCGAAGGTCCGCATAGACCGAGAGGCACTCAGAGGAGATGCAATCGACCTTCGTCGACGTGAGGGAGGTCGGCAACTGAAAGGATTGGGCCAAAAGGCGCTTGGGATATCGAATAGCAATAGCCTCCAACCTACTAGCGATGGCCTCCAAAGCAAAACTATATAAAGCAGGCACATGAGATCAATGTGACAGCATGTCACAGCTGTGTCCATGGCTTGAAGAAAACATGTTGGACCCTCGACTCAGTGCCACAGCATGCCACAGCCCATGAATTCCATGCCCAGGACCTAAAACAAACAAAACATAAGAGCATCAACTTCATGGGGATCCGCACGACCTGGCTGTGCCACCTGAAGGATTAAAGAATAGGACTGTTCTTAGCTTGACCAACGAAGTTTCTGCGCAACCTGGGCTTAAGCTGCACCTGGGCCTCAAGGCATCGTTTCAGTCCCTCGTCACCTCTCAAGGCAATGTAAAGCAAGAGGGTGGGGATAAAACTCAAAGCCATGGGGCTGAATATGTACATTACATACTGGATCATACTAGGTGTGTCGAGCTGCGCGCAAAACACGAGCCTTGGCCCCAGCAACAGCTCGCTAAGGATCTCTTGAAGTCTCTGCTCAGGAGGCAAAAGCCTAAGTCTCATGACTCTGCCGGTCCTCGTCGTCCTCGTTACCCAAGGTGGTTCTGCAAAGATCTTCAGTCTTTGCATAGCTCACATGCTTGTGTCATCAGAGATTTGTTCAGACAAATCCTAATACAGTGAAGAATGTTTCACCATGCGGGGTATGGCAATGGTATGCTTTCACCAGGAGAACTAAATTCTACAGCTAATTCCCTTGTGATTGGTCAAGACCATTTGCACTACTGGACCAGTGGAGCTGGAAAGACTTCAATCATGATTCATGATTCAACCTGACACTAGTAGCGATGCCCTTTGCTCCTAGTAGCTTCTTGCTCCTAGTAGGAAGGCCAGGAGCCCCTAGTAGCGTCCTTGCTCCTAGTCACTAGAACGAACTCAAGAGGTGGATTTCAAGGTATCTGCAGTATCCTTTTCGTCTGTTGTTCTGTTCCTACTTTGTGGAGCAGCAGAACAAGGGTAGACAAGTCCAAGAGCCTCATCAAAAAGAGTGCCAAGGTCGCCAACCAGGAGCAGGTATGTGTGAAGGGTGTTTATCTTGATTCAATTCCTGCCATGGACTAGAATGAACTCAAGTGGTGATTTGAGTCTAGAAACGTTTGATTTGGTGGCATTATATAGTCAAAGCAAGTTATTTAAATCCTTGATCCCACTGTGCCAAGGTATGAACTCCAGAGTATATCATGAAGTGTGGCCCTCCGCAGGATGTCTACAAAAAAGGCATTAATTCAGAGTTGATTCCGAGCAGCAGTCTGCGGGACTAGCATGCAGACCAGACAGAGCTCAAGAGTAAATAAATTCTTCTAAACACTGGATTCTGTGTCGAATCCATCTTAGTGGCGGCACTCACGGAAAGACCAGGGATGAACACGCCGACTTGCAGAGTCTACAACGAAGGATTGGAGTTGCAGACCATGAATCCTCAAGGAGGTTCGCATGGCACCAGGTCAAATGGTTTGTTGCCCTGAGCACGTGACATGTGATGAGGGAATCGCCCCAGAGTTGGCGTTGTCAGGATCCTAGCTCATAGGTACTTGCTTGTCTTAATCGTATCTCGCAGATTTGAGTTGTGTGGCACTTCTGTTTCTCCGCTCGAGCACATTTTCAAGCTGCTGTCCGAATGTGCAGTTGACAGCCCGTTGATCTGCCAACGTCCTTCCCAAAAGAAGGATATGAAAAGCATCTTTATAAATCTTAGATCACCTAGACTTGTTCTCCTGAAATGTCCAATTTGCTGGTAAAGCATTATCTCTTCAGGGATGGTTGTAAAGTTTGGGTGAGCACTGATGAGCTCAATGCTTGGACTTGCGAAGGGCCGACATGTTCTGCAAGGGCCCAGCACCTCCCGGATTGAGAAAGGCGAGCGTGAAGGCATCATAAGCCATCTATCAATGATTGGAGCCATGGCTGTGGATGCAACTGCTTCAAGGCTGAGCGAAAGTAACTTTGTAGCTCCTCTTTGCAAAGGTCTTCAGGGAAACCTGTAACATCGATCTGGAACTCTTGCGTCAGGAACAAAAGAAGATCTTGATAGCAACCTGCTTCGCCAGCATTGATGGCCGCCATGCCCCGCTGGAAGTCTTTCTGCCATGCTCTACAGTCTTCTTGGAACAAACAAACTTTGCAGGAAACTGGAAGCTGGGAGCCACAGTACTTGTCAGTCTTCTGAGATTTCATCCAGCTCATTCTACATTCCGCGTGGTAGAAAGCTCCCGAGTCGAGCACACCGCGGTGTGCGTCTGCAACACCTTCCCCATGACCAAAGTTGCATCCAACACCGCAGGTGGCAGGGTCCTCACTTGTAAACTCCATACAACATATCCCACATGCCTCCTCCTTCTCCAATCCATCTCTAGTGGGAAAGTCTTTGAGGGATATGTAGCTCAAATCGGCAATGCCACACAAGCGCTCCACTGCCACATGTTCGCCATCCTGGTCTACCAAAAGAAATCGCCGGTGCCAATGCAAAACATCGCATGACGAAAAGCAGCATTCGCAATACTCGGGCCGGGAATCAAAAGTGGATTCCGGCGGTAGCACTTCACCTGGACGCTCATTGGGAATGAATAATATGAGTTCAATGGGACGAATGAAGCTCGTTTAAAAACCCAAGAATCCAACATATTGTATATTCTTTCGATTTTTTTGGAGGGAATGGGGGCCAGGTTTGAAAGCATGCTCCGCACCGCCTGGTGGCATTCCATACATTGAAAGCGCCTCTTGGGCGGAACTGTGGTTAAGGACATGCTACAGTTGGAGCACCGGATGCATGCGCAATCTGGAGAAAAGCAGCAAAGAGCTCCACAAGGCATCCTGGGACTTCTTACAGCGCTTGTCGCCCGTGACCCATTTAAGCAATACAGTCTAGTCTAGTCACGTTATTGCATTAGATTCATTAGATCATACAGCCTTCAATGTTGAGAAAACCACAAAGTGCTAAGCAACAGCTGGCATCTTGTAGTGTTTCTGCCATCTCAGCATGTTGTCCGTCACGGCTCGCTGCGGCAGACCTTGCCTCCATTCCTCTGCACCATCCACAGTGCGGAACACATCAGCGGACATGCTTCGCTGCGTGCTACTGTTGACAGTTGGCTCTCAAGATTTCTCGGCGATTGCACAGCATTCGTGGGTCGCCTTCTCCACTCTTGAGGGACCTTACCCGCCTTACCCCTAAATGCAAAATCAAGAACTCTGGAAAACAGAGTGACTGCGGAGGTGATTGCAATGCTGGAGGCTGCATGTGTTTTCGTTCCATCATGTCACGTCATGTGGGTTGTACTCCCTGGAAGACTAACATGGACCCTCGAAACCACTGGTTGGTAGAGGAAAACACTCTTCCAGGGGGCCATTGTCAGGGTCTATGTTAGTTTTCGGGAGTGTAGTCATTTGATGTCATTTGCAGGGTCACGCAAGGTCTTCGTTGGCCATAAGTTGGGAACAATTGCATGCACTCTCTAAAGCCTTTCCTTGGGCCGCTGCCAATAGCATCAACACAACTCGACAACTCGACTGTTTAATTGCAGAAATCCCCAGGTTGACTCTTTCGAGGTGCCTCCCCTGCCCCCGGGCATCCCTGGCCCAAAGTGGCGGGCGAGCTCAGAGCCTAGCAGGCATGAAGTCCGGCAAAGGCATTAGCTTTGATTGGGTCAACCAGAAGTGCCCAAAAGCAAGTGCAGCAGGTGCCAAGTGCAGCGCTGCAATATGCAATGCCTCCACGGCCAGTGCTTGGCCCTGCCTGACATCTTCGAGGCACTGATCTCGCGCGCCTCAAAGAGAGCCAAGTTGCAGTACACAAAAAATTCTTGTCACTTGGGCAAAGGTACGAGCCAAGTGAGGACTCAAACAGGCGAAGTTCCGGGTCGTGAAGCCACAGCGCACAAAGTCTGTGGCCTATTTCTTAGGGCGCCATAGGTCAAAAGTTCGCGGGTCCCGCCACTGAAGGTGGACGGAAACACAAGGCCAAAATGCTCATGAAACATTAGATATACCAAAGGTGGCATGAGTTGGTCTGTCAAATTTGCACCGGTGGGAAGCTAAGAAACAACTTAACGGTGGACCCACCAATCTTCATTAGTCAAGTAGTCATGGGAACGTCGAATGTTCTCAACATCTTGCCATAGGGTGGTTCCACTCAGTCCGTTGACTCGGTAGGGAGTCCTCGGCTCAGCTTGGCAACAGAAGGCGCAGGCATCACGTCGAGTGACCCGATGCGCCTGATTTAGGCCGGTTTCTGCGCACTGCCAAGCGCGGCGTCACCAAGGCGCCGTGCTCTCCGGGCGGTCTTCATCTAAGTGGTCCAGCAGCTCGCGGTGGACAGCACGGCATCTCCGAGATCACCTTCGAGGCGGCACACGTCGTCCTCCTCAAAGTGTATAGGGTGTCCTCACCGAAGAGTGAAGTAGACCAGCATTGCCATAGGCGATGTTAAGGAAGTGGCGCGTGCTCGGCCGTCTTTTGGAGTTCTCATGGACGTCAATCTCCTCAGAGTAAATCTCCTCATCCGGGATCTCTTCCTTCGGTGTTGTTCTTATGGGACTTCTTCTTTCTCAAGTCGGCACCTCTTGCCGGCTTTCTTCGCACTCTTCCTTCGTTTTCTTCTTGGCTGAGACGTATAAGTGGGCGCCCCAGGCCAATTTGATCCGGCGTCGTCGGATCCGATCTCCTAACAGGCTTCTGGCTAAGCTTTTGGTCAGCCTGTCGGCAAATATTCAGAGCTCACGCGTTTAAAACTTCCACCCAACTCTTGGACTTGCTGCTTGGCCACTTTGATCTCCAGGCAGGTGCGTTTGTCCACTGAAGAGCTCGCAGAAGTCGAGGTCTCCTTGTGTCAGGCGTCGTATAGTGCCTTGGCATCAGTCACCAAGGTGGGTTTCAAGACGCAGCGGCTGAGGTATTCAGCAGCGTCACTGGCGCCACTAGCAGCCTGAGCTTCAGCGCTCAAGCTAGACCGCGCAACTCGAGGCAACTTGCAACTGCGCCAGTCCACCATGTGGTACCTCTCCTCAGGAACCAGCATGGCCAGGTATCCTCCTTGCGACGGGTCCACGCCATCGGATATCGGATCTTGCGGAGTTGCTGTTAAGCGTCTCTCCAAGAGAAGCATCGTTGGCCGGCTACCAAGCGCTGATTGACGCCAGAGTAGCGTCGAAGAAGTGCACGTCCGAGCCTGCGGTCAGATTGTAGTAGACCCGGTTGAGCCGGTTAACCCAATATCTCTGTGGACTGTGCATTGAGATGTGGCAGATTGTACGGGAGAGCCTGCCGAGCTCCTTCTCGTCCTTCAAGCTGTAGGTCACTCACGTAAACCTCAATGACCTTGCGCAAGACAGCGTGTTGGCGCTCAACTTGGCCGAGGCGTTCGTGAGCCTTCCCTGAGCCTGGCGCTACTTGGTGGCTGACGCGCTCATCAGACCGTGTGAAATTCGTTGTCCTTCGCCAGCGATCAGTTCTTCAGGGCACCAAGATGAGCGATTCAGCGACGTTCGAGATGGAGTAGTTGCGCCTGTTTCAGCTGACACGCCACTTGATACGTGGTGTCCAGGATGGCCAAGATCGGCCATTTCTTCTTCTGCGCCCTGATCTAGAAGACATCAGCTTGGATGGACTGGTTGAAGTGATCAGCCTTCTTGGCGTTGGCCGGAGCTGGTTGGTTCGGGCGAAGACAGGAGCTGCCCAAGTAGTTCTCTGCAGCGGTCAGGATAGCACCACGGACCACGGGCTTGAAGTAGGTCCACAAGGGCCTGGACTGATGGATGTCCAAGATTCCCGTGGACGTTTTGCCGGTTTGCCACATGAAGCTCGACGATCCTGCCCAGGTACAGCATAGAGCAGCGAGCGCAGAGGACATGGCAGGTTGGTAGTTTTGCATGTAGGAGGTTCTGCGGGCGCCAAATCCCATCATCTGTCCTTCAAGACGGCACTGTAATGTTCATGATCTCCACTGCTCGTTTTGTAGTGAGGATGACGGTATCTTTTCTTCAGGCTTCCATTGGGAGTCCGCGTCCATGCACACGACTCCATACTGACAGTGACGGCGTCTGGCCTTGTAGCTGGGGAGCGAGCGTAGGGCAGATGTATCCCACGGGAGAGCGGCTGTAGGTTGCTGAATGTGGCTCTGACGTCCAGCATGCAAGCAGTTGCTTGTCGATGCCATTCGCGAAGGCCACAAATATCTCTCGTCTTTGTTCAGTAGCGCGATGTTCTGCATGCTGGACCAAGGGCCACAGCTGGGAGAGCGGTAGATCTGGTCTGGCGTCTCTTGATCTTGTAGTTCCAGAAAGGCGCGTTGATGGGGATTGCAACGCTAAGTTCCATCGCGTCTCATAGCCAAATGTCCGGGCGGTCATGCCCATGGATTCGTAGACCTCCAAAGGGTCCGAGGAGGTGCGTCATGCTCTTCACAAAGGGTCTCGTCGACCAGAACGCTCAGGTCATTCGTCTGTGCCTGAGAGCGCATGACAAGGGACTTCCAATGCTCGCCGGCGGTCAGCGGCACGGTGGTCTCATCAAGCAACTGGTCCTCCTCAACCTGGTAGAGGTGTTCGTCAGGAAAAATTCGTACGTGCCATGTTCGCCAAGTTCTTCATCCAGCTGCAGATCGAACGATGGTTCCCACTCCGTCCGGAACGAGGAGGTGAGGTTAAGGAGATGTTCTTCACGTCGGCCCAGAGACAAGCTTCCTGCCACGAACTTGATTCGTAGCTGGGCAAAGTCAATAGTCATCCAGCGCCTTGATCACGGGACGGCCAACCAGCATAGGCGTCTCACCAGACAGCACGAAGCGTTGTAGGAGTCCGTGCAGGTTGTTCAAGTATGCAGAAACTAAGATAGCCTCTCCCTGTCGTCTAGACAGGTTTAGACAGGCGCATCTTCTTGTAGTAGATCAAGATCCTCTTCTGCCACTCGCGGTATCCCGTTAGGGGTCCATCAAAAGCGGGATGAAACTATCCCGAGTTGAGGCCGTATCCATCTCGGCCTTCTTCTCGGTGGAGGCGGCTGACAGGAGCCCAAAGACAGTCTCAGCCAAGTAGGTGGTAGTAGGTCTCAGCAGAGAGGAACTCGAAGTGAAGCACTGCTCCTGAGCGTAAAGAAGAAGTCAAAGTGGTAGGTAAAGTTTCCGTTGGTGTTGTAGTGGGCGTGGAAGGTGTCAGGGGGTAAGATGCGGAGCGGCAGGGAGCCTCCTACCAATGTCACGTGGGCAAAGGTAGGAGCCAATATAAGTGAAGACCCAGACAGGCGAAGTTCCGGGTCGTGAAGCCACAGCGCACAAAGTCCGTGGGGTGCCATAGGTCAAGAGTTCGCGGGTCCCACCACTGGAGGTGGACAGAAACACAGGGCCAAAATGCTCATGAAACATGAAACATGAGATATATCAAAGGTGGCATGAGTTGGTCTGTCAAACTCACAACTCTTTTCAGGTACACCTGAACTGCTTCTCATTTCAAGATGGCTTACTAACTGAAGCTTGCTCTCCTGTTGGGTAGCCAAGGAAGAGCACTGTATTCCACACAACTGCAAACAGTCTGTCGAAGACATAGCAGACTTCCTGGGTTCACGAGGCCTCATCCTTCATGAGCGAAGTGGTCAGGCGGACAGCACCTCAAAGTGCTGACACCCGTGCGCATTCAATACTATTTGATGTTGAGATTGAGATAGATGTACTTTTACATTGGTCTCCTTGAATGTACAATTACTTCTATGTTAATGATATGTTGACTGAGCACGTTGATTGAGCACTTGTCCTGAAGGCAGGTACGAGTGTAAAGCTACCTAATGCTGCCTATATACGGCAAGAATAAGTCAAGGCTCCTTTCCCCCAGTTGCGCCGCCATGTCCCTTGACTTGCAACCACACAAAAGCTAGAGGACGGGCTGGGGAGTAAACTTGAAAGGAGCATCTTTCCAAACACCAGCAACAGTGAAAGCATTCTTGAGAGGAACTCAGTAAATGTTCATCTGCTCCAAGCGTGCTGTTATCGTTGAGCAAACAAGAACAACTAATGCAACGGTTGTGTGTTCCTGTAGGGCAAATGATCTTCTGTGATATGTTCCCAATCTGTTCTGTGTGTTCGGCTGCCTTTGAGAGAGTTGATGTTGCTGCTGAGTGCCCATGCCAAGCTGAGCTTTGGCCTCTCCAGAAGCGGCCAGCTGCAGCAGCAACTGCCGCAAAGCCTTCCCACAAAAATGGATTGCAGCGGACCCCACAGGTTTCCAGTACGCATCATCCAACATGGTTGGGTGGACATGCTGTACAAACAAAGTGGATGGGTGTCTGACAAAGTCAGATTCTTTGCTCCTACCGAAACCCACCGATTGTTCTGTTTGTTTGGGCCTCCTCTTGGCGCTTCAGCCATTGTGCCAATTCAAGCAATCCTGGTGCAAAATAGGAAGCTGGTTCAGCAAAGCTGACAGCTCAAATCTCTGCGATGTTTCATAGATTCATACGTTTCTGCAGAGTGAATTACAGCATGCAACACGCATCATTATGTATGCATTGAGGTGATCCTAAGGCAGAAGCTAAGGTAAGTTCTATATAAGGTGTCCCAATGGGATTTAGAATTTGCTAGTTTCCTAACATCCTCCGCCTATCAATCAAAGTTCTCGCCCAGAGCCTTCTTTTGGCATGTCTTTCGAATCAATAGCAAGATGGCGATGGTGCCTGCGAGATCTAGGAGCAAAGTTGAGAGTGCTGAGTGATGCAACACGGTGTCATAGGAATGGCAACACAAATGGTTCTCCTGGTGGTGGCCTCCCCACCTCCTTTTCAAATCTGAAGCTTTCTGTGAAGATGACAGTCAGTGCACGTGAATGAGATTCATTTCCAAGGCGACAGAGTGTTCATTTGGGTGGCAGATCATTCGGTTTGTTTAGAGCGGGCAAAGCGTTTGGCAAACAATCTGGGTTACCCTGCGCAAGAACCTTGCCAATGGCAGACAGAGCTGCCACTACCACACCTCAATGACCGCCATGTCACACAGGGTCACAGTCCAGAGACTCTGATAGGGAAAGCCTGACCTGTCTTTTCTACTAGATTGGCTCAAGCAGCGAGAACACCATGGATGTCCCAATTTGCCAAAAAAATCCGTTGAGGGAACTCAAGAACTCAAGATCAATCAGCCTAGATCCTGAGTTTCATCAATGCCCCCCAACTCGTTACCCGGCCCAAACACAATGACGCCTGTGGGCACCCGCGCGTAAGTCCTCGGACTCGCAAAGCTCAAAGAGCTCAGTGATCTGGGCCGTCGCACGTCGCTGCTTCACCCAAAGCGTGCCAATCAATTTGGAACGAAGGTGTTGGATTTTATGTCATGATGTGCTCTTGTTGTTCTAGTCCTATGATATGTTGATATATTTTGTCATGATCCTTGTAATCCAAAGAGCTGTCCCTTTGCTGACCTAGCATTGCACCAAGCGGTCTGATGAACCTGGCCAAATTTGTTCTAAACACAGATCTCATTGAAACGCAAACAACTTTGCCTCGTTCAACTTTTGCTGGCCCGACGGACTGAGCAGTTGGCCCCTGAAGCGAAGGGGATTTGATCGACGGATATCTGGACCGCAAGCAGGGTCCCAGTATCCACAAAAAAATGGGCACAAGCAGCGACATGGGTTTCGTGTGGTTTTCATTACCACTATGTGTAGTTGGAACTAGTCCCCTATCATCATTGAATGTCATGCAGTGATATCAAACACAAAGCTGAAGGAATTCGAGCGACAGCTACGCGCAAGACATCTCCAAGCTAAATGAACCGAAAGAACCGGTCCATGATGAGGCCACTTGGGTCGACCTAGGACACAGCGGCTCTGAGGGGCATGCTGCAGCTCGGAGACCCGATCCATGGCTCACAGACCCTCGATTCTACTGACGGATGCGGGTGAACTGAAGGAAGGTTTGAACTTGACCAAAGAGGCCGTTTGTTGTTTGAACTTCAGACATGTTGACGTCAGTTTGCCCAACTGCAGAAAAGACAGTGGCAAATTAAGGCACACAAACATATTGTCACTACCAATAAGCCTGGAAACATTGCTGCTGTGATCCAGCCGTAGAAGGCAAGCACTGAGGACGGCTGTGACATCGCTTGGAGTCTTCAGATGGCACAACAAAAAAGTTGCAGTAACTTGAATTCACGTTGAGTGATGCTGAACTTTCCCCGCAAGGACCTGACAATTTGGGTGACTAACCAAATTTATATAGGTCTGGTCAGTCTCTCCATCTCCACACGCCAGAGCAAAAAAAAGAACAGAAATCAATGAAAGTGCGACACAACAAGCACTACTTGGAAGCCCTTGTCAATTCCTCAAATCGCAGCAGGGATGCCTTGTGCAAGATCCCCGGTTAATTACTTGGTCCCAAACCATGCACGCGTTTTCCTTGCCAAGAATGCGAGTTCAACATGTAGTTGATTAACCTCTTCGGCATCTGCAAGAAGTCTCAACTTCTGGGAGAGGCTGCGAGGCGTGTGATCAAGCTGCGGGTTGGTCCAATCCTTCCCGACAGCTTCATACAGCGACTCGACTGTTGAACTGAACAAGGAGTACATGTGACAAAAAAATTCCCGGAGGAAGGCAGCGGTCCAAGCTCAGATTGGCGTGATGATTAGGCAAATTCCTTGCTGGACCTTCAGCAACTCCCAAACAAAGACTTCTCAACCTCACTTTATTAGATAAAAAGATCACCCTTTGCAAATGCAGGGCGCGTGCGGCAAAACATCATCCCCCATGGGGATGTTGAAAGCAGGCCGCCATATGGCTGAACGGAACTTCAATCCTTCATCCTCTTTTCTGTGACTTTCAGGTGTCCTCTCTTATCCACAACTCTGGGAGTTCAGGACAGGAGGCAAAATTTCTGAACTCAACACACTGCAAAGGGTGGCGGCCCCAAATGGGGACATGCGGTTTCTCCCATGTCAGGTGACAGAAATGAAGTCAGCTACTTTGTTTGGGTCTTACCCCACCCTCTGCGGCCGAGGTTTATGTTTGCCAGCCTCGCAACACAACATCACTCTCTTCCCAAACGAGTGGTGCACATGACCTGTTTCAAAGGGAGAATGCACCCCAATCCTCCCAAAATCTAGCGTTCTACTGTCCAAGCTTGATCGAGCAAGAAGTAAAGCCTGCCTGAGATTGAGTGTGTTGCAAATTGGCATCATTCGACGATATTGCCGGCCCCCCTTCAATCATCTTCAATTTCAGGGGTCAGCAAGTGATTGGGGGAAGAGCGGACTTTTCCGTAAAGTCCGCATCTTCACCTTCCAAGCAAAAGTTGTGTGTTTGATGCTCCAGGAAGTGTGTGCGTGTGTGTTCTGCAAACCCGGTGGTGTCACAAGCTTGTGTAATCTCTTGTATGTATGCAAGAGGTAAATCGAGGCATTTAATGCAACACTTGGCTGAAAGTATCTCAACACTTGGTTGAAAGTATCTGAACTGCTGGATGGCGCGCAAAAAAGTCACAAAGACTGTGACGGGTCTTTGCTCCAGGACTTGCCCTCACACATTGAGCCTGGTACGGAGGGTCAAGATGGTCAAGGATGAGCTGTCTACAAACTTGTGTGGGGAAGCACCAGTCAGTAGTCTGAATATTTTTCTGACTTGCCCCCATCCCATCGTGCCACCGTGCAACTGGACTTGTTTAGCTAGACAAAATCTAAAGCCATAGAAAGCTAGAGGCGCAGATTCTGCGTTCTCAAAAAAAGTATCGTGTTCCGTGTTCAGGACACCATCAAAGGATTAAAGAGTGTTGGTTGGGCCCAAAGATTTAGAATGAGTTTTCATGCGTTGGAGTGTACTTACTGCTCTTCCAAAGATTCTACTATAATTGTATACTTGTTCGGTGGCCTGCAGCTGGAGATCACTTCACCTGCGGTTTCAGGAGTGAAGCAACTGCCAAAAGCTTCTTGGGGTACAGTGATAGAGCGAACAGGTGCAACTCTGAGGCATCCTCTCCAGTACTACAATACGATCTTTGGATTCGATTGAATACAAGGAGCTAGCGTCAATGAAAGAAGGCCCACCTCCATCACGTGGCCAATGGCCACAGTGGTCTCCTCCAAGCGTAGCATGACCATGCCCAGTCCTTGAAGTGAGATCTTACAGCTATGCAAGAGCATCTTATCCACTTGACATCACTTGTCAGTTTGTTTCAATTTCAAGTTTCCACAAAGAATATCCGTCCCTACTAGGAACAAATTTGGACTCCAAATGGAATTCCAACAAAACGACCTATTCAATCCCATCAGCCCTACAAACACTCCAAATAGCACCGACTTCCCCCACCACCAGAATGGATCAGCAACGTTCAGCATGTCTTTCCCTCCAAGCTACGGCTTCCAGGTGATACACAAAGTGGCACCTGCCGCAGACTGCGAAGAAAACATAATCTTTATATATAAACAAAGACAGTACTTCGACCTCTCCATCCGAGCTACATGATTGCCCGGCTGCGCAATTGTGTCGCAAAGGTGCTTCTTTGCGCAAACACCGATTGTTGTTTAAGGTTTTGGGTGTCAACGGTGTTATGGGCCCTGGTGTTATGCGACCGCACAACAGTCAAAATTTTCTGATTACATGGGGTTGTGGGTCAGGCGGGGGATTATGTAAAGGGCAATGATGACCGGTTGGATCATCAGCGTCAACATTTGATCTTCGCCATCTTCGCTTCGTTAAATTCACCTTCATCTTCGTTTCATGAGCGTTTCATGAGCTTCAGTTTCATGCACTTCATGTTCATCCACCTTTCGTTTCATGCTCATGCACCGGGCTTTCATCTTCGTTTCATGAACTTCATGTTCATCTTCTCCTTCGTTTCATGAGCTTCATTCACATTTGCAAAGCAGTCGGAAACTTGTGTGCCAAAATGTCCACTCGAAAAGTTGCTCTCAGGAAAGATCTCAAACCGATTCGAACCGAACGAACCGAATGTAGAGCGAGACGAACCGATCCGACCCCCGTCCAGCTCAATCAGCAAAGCGTTTCTCCGGGTTTTTCTAGAGATGCTCCTCCGAATGTCCTTGATTCATTCGCCATCAACACAGAGGCCCATCTGCAGTGAACGGTAGGCACTCGAAGTGTTTCATCTCACCTGCCACTTGACTCCTGCCTGAATAGTGATGCCGTAAGTGGCTCCCGTTTGAAAGTGTTTTTGGTGCTACGTGAAAACGCATGTTCGGCGCAAAACACGGTTTTTGAGCAAATGCCTCACTGGAGGAGCCCCACCTGCGGACGAATCTCGCAAATAGTTTCACTGGCAGCATTGGGTTTCTCTTGCGGCCTGCTTCCCTTCGACCTCTTCCTCTTGTCTTCTTTGGCTCCGCACGCACCAAGATCTCAAGCATGTGGTTCATAGGGTCTTCTGCTGCTTTTTCGAATCTGTCTCCAAGTTCTGGGCACTTTTCGCGTGAACCCGCCACCTTTGCAAATCATATCCTTGCCTTGTAGCAGGCAGGCGCCTACATTAGTGGACAGTCCTCAGGTCCTCGATAAAACCAACGGCGCAAGAGCGCTCATGTTCTTCTTCCACAGACTGAGGAACACTGCGCACAAGCAGCGTTGACGGATACGCCTTTTACGCACACGGTTTTTAAAACAATTCATATAGCAAGTATTCTATACCCGTACCTCCCGCAAGGCTTTGCCAGCCCGCCCCATGCTAAAACGCAGAGAGAGAAAAATATGCGTGCAACTAAAACCAACCGACTCCCTACAACAGCTGCCACGTTCAGCTGGGGAGGTCGGCAGCTCGCCATACCTGCTCTACCAGCACTGCGCCTGGGGTACATTTTAACTTGCGCACTCACACTTCCTGTCAGGGACGTGGTCGCAGCACACGCGGCCCTGGGCGTTCGCCAAGGGCGTGGCTTTGACCTATGCATGGGGGAGAACGCTCTTTGGAGCCCTTTTCCTCTGCACATTGGAATTTGCCCGTGTCTGCTGGAAAACCATTCGGACGTGGAGTCGTGACAACAATGCCAAAAACGATGGTGAATGGTGACACTGCAAGTCCTTGGTGGAAACGACTCCTGACCTACGGGCAAAACATGAGGGCTAACTTGAGTGAAACAGGTGCAAAAGCAACCCTCCAACCATGCTTTCTGTCCGAGAAGGAATAAGTATCGTGCGCACATCTCAGCGCCAGCTTTTGCCAGGGGCCTTCCACTGCACCAAGGCCACTGACTTTGCATGGCCCGTCTATGTCGGCACGAGATGTGTCAGGTGGCGGCTGACGACGCTGGGCAGCAAGCTGATCCCTCGTGACTGCATGGGAACTCTTGGTGGAAATGTCTCCTTCCACGCCTCAAAGCTTGGTGGTGTTTGCAGTTGAGTCTGTCCCGCAGCCAATGCCTCCATCATCTGCATGAGATGTTGTGCATCTTCCCATCCTAGAACATGTGCACCTTGTGCTGGAGCTAGTCCTCCTTGTCCTGCCATTGTCTCTTACTTGCCTTGACTGAAGCAGTCCGGCAGTTGACATTGATGCTTGTCATACGGCTCCCCGGCCCGAAGCAGTTCGGCTGACCTTCGACAAGTAGATGGTAGCTGGGCTGTTACAACTACATCTCTGCTACCATGAACGGAGAATTTAGGCTCACAAAGTTGAGTGCTACTGAGATCACTGTACCCAAAGGAAGATTCAAGCAAGCAGGACTCACTGTTCACCTGATACTTGAGGTAATTCAGGTTTGAACAGAAGGTCTGAAATTATCTGAAACGACTGCAGCGAAACATGTGTGACCTAGACTGTTACATGCAAGTGACCCAACATCTGATCAGTGCCTAAAACGCCGAAAACGAAACAACCCCCCAGTAGATTGGACCCCTGGAAAGCCAATTACAAAAAATAAACATGATTATGATGCATTGTTTCCCCAAAGGACACAGGCCCGTAACACCGTTGACACCTTGCTTGCAACTCGTCGACGAGGCAAGCGCAGGGAACGGAAACAAGAACGACGATTCCCTGGTTGGTTGCTTTCGCTTTCGTAGCAGCTTGGTTTTGCGGACTGACATAACAAGCCGTTCTCGCAAGGTCAAAATCCTTGCTGGGCACCTCTCTGGACAGCCGCAACATGACGGTCAAACGCTGACCAGCCTGCAATCGAACAAATCCAGTCTATCTGTTTACTGTACCAACTATTGCCCAATCAATATAAGGTGTAGATGAGGTGCTTGACACCAGTGGAAGGCACAACTCTACCGTCACACAGCTGCAATGGGTGGTGTTTCATGGTGTTTCAACAAAAACATCCAAGTGCCTTTTACTTAGGTCTCTGGTCAACAAGAGTATTTGTGAACCCTTGAGTATGTCTTCCACACGCACAGCTAACCAAAGATCGTGCCTTCACCACCTTGGGCTTCTCACTGGTCACGCCTGTTGCCCAGTCAAAGGCTTCCTGCGTGGCGTCACAGTTGACATGCAAAACTGACGATATGGCGAGAAGAGTCATAATATGTCATGATATAAAGAGGAAACATAGTGAAACTGTCTCAAAATAATACCACAGCAAATCAGTGTCCAGAATCTTCTCGATTTCAGCTTCGACCGTTGCTGCATGAACCTAAGCTGAAGGCTGGCATGAATGCGATGACAACAATAACAAAATTGTACCTGCTCATCCAAGAATTTCAACACAGTGCTAATCAAGATAGACCAAGTCAGAAAGTCACACCGGCCAAGAGAACCATTCCAAATTAATTGATAACGCGCCAGTCGCTGAGGTGCCCTCAAAGTGGTGCATTGGTCGATATTTAACAACCATAGATCAGGGAACACTTAATTAAGCTGGTCTGTTGATATGTCCTTGCACGCACTGAATCATGGGTAAAGCTATTTCAGCAATTTGCAAGTCAAGTGCAATCAGGCAACTAGGCATACCCCTTTGCAATTCCAAGGGGAGGGGATACTTGCACTTGCTCCAGGATAGCCAAAGAACCGGAATGAACTGTATCGCGAATGATGTGAAAAGGATACTTCGTCATGAAGCAACCGAACCACCAAACTCGGAGTTGTTCCGTGGAGGTGACGTCTCCTAAGCGAAGCATTTGGAGACTTGAGTTCCTAAACGAGGCCAGCCTTGTGTAGGCCCATTCTCTGCGAGGTGCGTGGAGGACAGCCTTGAAACCGGCTGTCAAAGGTCTGGGCATCTCGATCACCTCCATCTGTGCCTTCAGGTAATCGCTCACCTTGCGACAGGGATGCCAAAGCCATCATCCGTAGAAAACACTGGCATGTCTGACGTGCAAGAAGCCCTTTGTTCCAAAATGAAACGGATGCAATCAAACCCAACGGATGCAGTACTCGTCAAGTATAGTAAACCCAACGTAAATAGTCCGTGTGCACGGGATCTTGCGAGGTTGTCATGGATCTCTGCCACACCTGGACAGGCTCCGTCTCACTGCATAGGACCGCGCCACGCCAAGATGGTGCTGTGGCCCCTGGCAGGTTCAGAGTTTGTTCTTCCACCTTCATCAAAGCTACTAGTAGCAAATAGGAGCTGAAAGATCTGAAAGGAAAGAGGTCCTAGTAGCAAATAGCTATTAAAAGCTTCTTGTTACTAGTAGTAATGCCAGGAGCTACTAGTAGCGCCCTTGCTCCTCGTAGCGATGCCCATTGTTACTAGTAGCTTCTTGTTGCTAGTAGTAATGCCAGGAGCTATTGATAGCCTCCTTGCTCCTAGTAGCGATGCCCTTTGTTACTAGTAGCTTCTTGCTACTAGTAGTGATGCCAGGAGCTACTAGTAGCGTCCTTGCTCCTAGTAGCAATGCCCATTGTTACTAGTAGTATTGCCAGGAGCTACTAGTAACGTCCTTGCTCCTAGTGGCGAGGCCCTTTGTTACTAGTATATATATATAGCCCACCTTCATTGGAAATTCAAACACATCTAAATACACCATGCACGGGGAATAATCCACATCAATTGTGAGGTCTACATTTCCCCACTCCTCGTTGTTTCGCAACATGTGGCAAAACACCCCAAAAGGTCTGCGGGTCAAGTTGTCTCGAGGGTGCAGTGTATGGGGACCACACCTGCTGTGTTGGGCCAGTCTGGTAGACTTCCAGTAAGCTGAAGCTCCACATGCCGCCCACTCTTTGCCTGGACGCTCTTTGCTCTAGTTCAGAAAGGTCAGTTGCTTTGGCTCTTTCTTCAACATGACAAAATATGATAACATATCTTGCAATCTTATTTCACTACTCCAATGAGGACCCACCTGAATCTGCCCCCATCAAGTGGCATGGGTTTCGCTGCAGGTTCTTTCCGATCATCCGCATCTCAGAAATGAATAGATATATATATATATATAGAGAGAGAGAGAGATCATATGCTCTCTTCGGGTTCAAAGAAAGCAAGGATGAGAACAAGCTCAGCTTTCCAGGGCTTTCCCAGTTCCAGCCTCTTGCAAAGGCTGTGGCTGCCTTGTGGCCGTTTGGAGAACCTCGATGGTGCATGCATCTGATCCATGAGGCACCAGGCGGCAGGACTGGCCCGGCTGCAGAAGTCCTGAAGACGTGTGATGAATTCTTGAGGGAAACTGTCCTTTTTGGGTTTAAAGGGGGGGGTAGGCCGTAGAGGTAGCTAGTAGTAGCTAGGTACGAGTAGGTAGCTAGTAAGGGAGAAGCTAGTAGCTACAAGTAGCTACTTCTCAGGACGCAGGATAGCTCACGCTTGCACTAATGACTTGGTTTCTAGATTTTTTGGGAAACTTAACGTGCAAAGGTCTTGGAGGGGAGTTTCAAGAATGCTTCTTGCATGATCTTGTTCCATCCTACCCACAAAGGATAAACCGGCACAAGCCTTGTTCCACACGGCCACGGACACGGAGACCTTTGGCACTCGCCGCGAAAGATTCGAAGAGAAGCACTTGCAGTTCTCCTGACCTGACAAGCATCAAGAAGTCTGCTAGATTCTTAGTCTTGACTGTCTTGGTATCTCACAAACCAAGGGCTCATGTGCCTTTGCACCAACCAAATAGCAATCAAAAATGGTGATCGCTATGCCTCTTCCCAGTCAAAGGCTTAAGGGCCTCTGTGCTTACTCTATGTTGTGCTGGCTGCACTATAAATTCTTTCTGCAAAGTAAGACTAAGACAGAAGTGCGTAGGGAAGACATGAACTTCAAGGCCTCCGTGTGCTTACTTCTTAGTTTACAGTAGCCTGATTCTATTTAATTACCTGCGTGCTTTTATCAAGAATTACAATATGATACAATATTAATATCAGAACTCGTCGGTCAAAGCCCTCTTCCTTGAATCTCGCCTTGGCTCGTGAGTCTGAGCTCCCTCGTCCAAGCACTGGAGCAAGCCACCGCTGGTGTGCCAGGTAGCCTAGTTCAAGTGTTCCAGCTTCAATGAGCCATTTAAATGAAGTGGGTGGCGTTATCGAATCAGGAGTCTTTGCAAAGCCCCTCCAGAGAAGGCCAAAAGGGAATAGTCGGAATAGTGTTATTACCAGTAGCTAGAAGCTACTAGTAACAAGAAGCTACTAGCAGCGATGCCCTTGTTACTAGTAGCGTGCACTGCGATAAAAGTGGTGTTATTTCATGTTATTTCTGATTGGACTCTAAGCACTGATCTCAGGCAAACCCTCCCTGGGCCTTGCGGGCATCCAATTGGTTGGAAAGCCCATCGACCGGCACAAAGACGGCGGCTGCTTGATTGAATCCTGCAGGGAGGGAGTAGTGTGTGGCAAAAAGAGGTGTCCAAGTCTGACCATCTTGGCTGAGACTACTACAGCTACAACAACCCACTTGGCTGCTTTCTCAGGTTAAAATGCTTGCGGTCTTCCTGCAAGTGCTTGTGCAAGCAGGGAGAGCCACTACACTGTAAGTATGTTGTATTTGTTGCTTCCGCACCAAGAGCCACCTGCATTGGTGAGCACCGGTGTCAATGCCGCCGTCACCTCGTCGAAACGATCCTCACAGTCAGCAATGCACATATGCTACGAGTCAGCACACACAAAGCTGTTGTTTCATGTTACATTTGAAGCCAGTTCAGAATGTCGAAGTACTGTACACCCCTATCCGCGAAAAGAGACTGTTTAAACTTCCGTGTTGGTGCGGGTTACATACTTGCGATGACAAAGAAATCTACCGTGTCCTGCGCCCACTGTGCGTCATCCATCTTTGTGACTGCAACCAACAACCTGCCAACCCAAATTCAGTGCAGGTTGGGTTGCCAAGTGTCCTCCTGCTGCAAACCACTAAGCCACCCACATGGTAATCGTAACGTTGAAGAGTGTAGGTACGGTGTCGACTTCAATCTACAAACATGAGATGATGGAAAATGATGGTGAAAAAAAACACACATAGAGAAAAACCTGAACAAACTATCACAAAGTTGAAAAAGATACGACAGTGTTTCCAAAATATCAAAATTCAAGTTGGAGATTCTGGAGCTGGGAACACGTGAGATATGTAGAGAACACGCCCCGCCTGTTTGCCCCTAGCCCTTTCGCTACTCGGAGCTGTTCAGCTAAGGCAGAGGTGCCACTGGCCTGGATGAGTGTGTGTGAGCTCACAAAGAAATATCAAGGAAATCGATAGAAATCATGAAAGAGTGCTTCTTCATCCTCACAAAAGCTGCGGATCGAATTACTTGGGTTGGTCAATTAACATTCGCTCACTTTTGTGAGGTTCATAGGATTCTGTTTAAACCGCAGTCAATCAGCATTGTCTTCACATGGGTTTTAGTCCAAAACGTGGCAAACCCTCTTAAACCCTCTTCTCCTCTACAACCCTTAAAATTCCTCTTCTCGACGGTTGCTCCAAAGAAAGGTTTAACAGAAGCCCGTGTTAAGGCAGCAGCGGGGAGGAGTGGTTTTGCAGACTACTGGGGGGTGCTACTTTGGATATTGATACGTAGGTTGTCATTGTGATTGTTGATTATTGTTTCATTGTGATTGTTGACCCGAGAACATCACCAAATCTTTGGCCCAAAACCACCCAGTATTACTGTCTTGGGGTTGAGCAAAATACCTGTGCAACCGTCTTTGAAACAGCATCCCGCACGAATCACATGTCCTGGGCACGACATAATATTGTAAAGTAACCAATCAAATCTCGTCGCTTTCTCACATGATGTCAACTTCAATTAGAAACTGGAAACACATTTGAATCAGTAAAATCTAGCCAAGCATTGCACCTGAAAAATGCTGAGCACAAAAGGATCAAGAACAGGCTTGTCGCCCCGAAAATTTCCCTCTGCCTCCCGTAGTGCTGCTTCCATCTCTCTGCCCTTGGCAGAGACCACTAGCAGGGCCACGTCTGCTTCTGCAGCGGCCTGTACAGCCTGCGGCAGGCAGCGTCGACCTGTCAGCAGATGCTTGACAACAAGTGTGCAGACCAGCAAACAATTGGCCTTTGCACTTGTCAAAGCTTATCGATCGACTTCCGACATCTTCTTGCTGTTTCTGGAACCTACATGCTGCCATGCCTGCAAGCAAGTTGAACTCCAACAAGTGTGTCGGAGCATACTAGAACATTCTATCTGAACCGCAAAGGGCGTCACGACATGCCTTTCGATCCTCAATCCGGCAAACCACACTTAAAACCTTCTGATAAACGGAAAAAGGCTGATCACATGCAAGAGACACCTTCGATGAACGGTCATGACAACCGAGTAAACCATAGTAAACCGAGTCGAAGGATCCCGCCTCCCGGCACATCCAGAAGACTCAGTTCAGCTCCACTGGGAGTTCGAAGGCCATCCTCTCGTTGAATCTCCTCGCATGGGAACCGCTCCAAGTCCTGGCGATGTCCAGGTCTCAGAGACGTCAAAGCTTGAATCCAAGTTAGATCACTTATAAATGTCTTTATTTATATACATAATTTAAAAAAAAAAAAAAAAAAAAACTACATCAATTCAATCAGAGGTCTGTTTGGAGTGTTTGTCAACGAGATGACACTCTATGTTTAATATTGTTTAGTTATATACTGCCTTCAAGCCTGCAACATCCAAAACAGTTCTGGAACCGAACCGAAACCCCGAACCAAACCGCAGCGAACCGGAAGCAAACCGAACACCAGGTCCTCAAACCGACAACCAAATCGAAAACGCCCGAACCGCGTGCTCCACAAACGGAAACGAACCAAAACGAACCGGCTCCACCCTGATAGAAACAGCACAAAGCAAACCTCCTGCCAGGCCATGACGAAGATGGCAAAGGCAGGGTGAGGAGAAGTGAAGATATCGGAGCAGTGGCGGTTTGTTGGCGGAAGTGGCTACTTGAGTGGCGTGTGCACATCCCAACTGACCTGGCTTAAGGCCTGTAGGTTGCCAACCTACAGGTCCACTGGGTGCCAGTTTGGCACATGGTGGCCACAAAGGCTGCAAGATCGTGCAAGATCATGTTAACCTGCTCGAAGGGTCCTCAAGCTTCTAGATTCTAGATTGTGCAACAAACGACTTCATTTGGCCGTAGGTTGCAGCTTCAATCGCATTGATGCCGACTTTCTTGTGGGTTTGCACCTTGGTCAGCCACATAACAAGAGCTACTGCCCCTGTTGTATACCCTGTGTCAAATTGAATTGGATGTGCGTATGCAAGCACCCATGTAGGCTGCTGTCCTTGCGCCTCTTCACCAAATCGCGCTCACTGATAGTTCCGGTAGCAAGCAACAGTGCACCCACCAGAGTTGATTTCCCTGAGCCTGAGCCAAGTATCGAGGGCTTTCGATTTAGTCGCCACAGAGTCTTGGAGTTGACGAAATAAATGACTAAATGGGATTGTCCAGGACATTCAATCAACAGCAACCAAAATTGGGCACGGTGTATGATATGCCCAAAAGGAGTGTAGAGCTGTAGAACATTGTAGAACCATCTCTTCCGTCTTTCTCTCAGGCCCTCCAGGGGATTTTCCGACCGGACGCTCTGGCCTTGGTGCCCCAAGACCGCCACGGTGATCTGGACCTCCGCGGGCGCCGCCTCCCGCTTCAGTGCCTCCGCGGCAGCCGCTGCTGCCGCGCTGGGCGGCAGACCGGCCGCGTGGGCCTTCCTCGCGCGCTCCTCGGGCGCGTTTCGGGCACTGAAAGGCACCCAAATCGAAGTAATTTGAGGAAGGTCAAGTTTGGTCTGTCCAGTTGATTCATAATGATTCATAGTTGTTCTAATGTTGCTGTTTTCTCATCTCATCTCCTCTGGTCTTCTCCACATTAGACTTGATGGCTCTATCATAGAGAATTGCAGAGTCCCAAGATCTATATATCTCAATCCTTTGTCAGCTGGGCTGGTTGGAGGCCATGCTATCTGAAGCAAGTATACCATCTGAAGCCAGTGTGTGAAAGAAGCCAAGACCTACCGGAACCCAGAATCCGGCCCTAGTTGATAGCAAGAGGCAGCTTTCTCTTTGATCTCCTTCCTGCATGCAGTCTCCCTAATCAGCAGTGTCCGTTTGCAAGGGCAACTCTTTCATGGATTTCATTGAATGCAGCGAAGCTGGCCAGAACCTTGGCAGGATAAAACTACTTCTCAATACAGGTTCGCGTGCAGGTATCGCAGCCCATTGCCAAAAGTATACTCTGCATCAGGAAAAGGTCTTGGTCTTGAGGGCATAAAAAGTGTCTTATGCAGCTTGTCTCAAGAGACCAAAAACGAATGCGCTTTGGACAGCACAGGCAAACGGACCTCCTCTGCTCAGCTCGTTTCCTTCGCTCTTCCTTCTCAATCTGGGGCTTTTTTTCAGACCAGAGTGAACCGACAAGTTTTTCACAGCGTCCTAAGTGTCAGCGCTTTTTGCTTTTGCTGTTTCTCATGGTCAAAATATCTCAAAATGGTATTGCATCTGTTGAAGCTTGGGATATTCGTCCAAATCTAACCTACATAAACTCCTTGGGCTCTTTTTACCCTGGCCTCTTCTCGACGACGAGCTTCCTCCTGGAGTTCCAAGCCAACCATGGAGTATGTTCATGCTATTTCGACTGTCAGTCCCATGATCTCGACGACATGGCCGGAAGCTACTAGGAACAAGTGCATCGCTACTAGTAACAAGTGCATCGCTACTAGTCCCATGATCTCATAAATGAAGATGGTCATGAATTGCCCATCACTCAGCATCATTAATCATTCATCATGCATCATCACTCACAAAAAATATGATGCCACAGTCAAACTCATGATATTGTCGCTCTCCTCGGTTTCCGCAGCTGCTCTCTCCTGTTCCGCCTTTCCTGAGTTCAGAATAGACTTGGACGAAAACCGCAGTGCTTGGATCTTTCGTCTTCGAAACGCCGACGTTCTGCGTGTCTTTCGATATTTCTTCAGTTCTTGGAGCAAGCTGCTGTGGATGGAGTCTTCTTTGGATGTTTGCAAAAAGTGTTTCTAATGAAATCTAAATCTGCAGGTTCTTTTCGTAATTCTACGGAAACTCTACAAACACAGTATCCACTGACTTGTGCTTTCGGCCACAAATGATCAGCGCGAACACCTTCCACCTTTGGACGATCATGAAACCTTTTACAGCCAAGCGACGCTGAAGAGCTTCTTGCTCCTTCGCCAGGCGTAGCCGCTCGGCCTCGCATTTCTGGGAACTTGGTTTCTGGACACGCGCAGTAAATCTGAAAAAGGTACCAACTGAGATCAATCAATGAAGGTGCGACAGCCATTGAGAGATTTATATCCTTCCCAGAAACCTGTCAGAGTGTCTTGTACAGGCTCTCAAGTCCGCCTGTTACATGACCTCACTACTTACACAAACTGCGTATTCAACTGCTTGCTATTGGCAACATTCAGTTGCTGAGTTCAGTTGTATTGTCTGTAAAACATGCAGGATCGAGTTATTGACTTTGGAAGGTCGGAGCCTCTCGTATCCTCTCCTCCTCTGCACGCTTCGCCTGGTAGCTGAGCGTAGCGGATTCTCTGGTAGCTTCTTGACTCGCAGGACTGAAAGTGCTGTTGTGCCCTCTAAGACCTGACACCCAGGGGGACCCACTGCCCTCAAAAAGTCTTTTGTCAAAGGGTCACAACCTGATCCCTCTTATCCTTTTACTGAAGTTGAGTTGAGTCTCGCTCTGGATCGATAATAAAGAGATCACTGAATTGAACTGACAGCCTCTTCCTCTTCCTGGCGCTTCTTCTCCTCTTGCTCTTTCTCTTTCTCTCTCCTTGGCTGCTCACTTGTACAAAAAATGCCACATGATGCCAGCATTCACAACTGCCTGGACGTGCATGGCGTAACTCTGTATTCAGTAAAATCTGAACTCCCAATGTAGCCAAAACTCATATGACCTGCATCTATGCATCTATCATTCCGTATTTGTATCGCCAGCAAAGCGTCTATGCGTTTAAAAGCACAAATCTGAACAAAGGAAGCTATATACAATGGTGACCAAAGAAAGAGTTTCTCTCCTTGGTTTTCCTAAACCGGAGCCACTTGATGTGACGATATGTCAGACGTCTTTTTGTTTAACTCTTGTTTAGGCAATTGGAGTACAAAAGTGATCGAACGCCTTGCTAGTACATTGCAGAGATTCTTCGTGCGCTCTTCCTCCTGTCTAAGTCTTGCTTCCTCTTGCTCTTTCCTGGCAGCTTCCTGCAAAGTGGTTCCAGGTAAAGTTACCAAAGAGCCCACTTGTTCGGTAGGAGCACATGACCTCACATGACCTCTGACCATTTTGCGGCTGCTTAGTTTGACCAAGGACCAAGCCAACTGGTAGACTGAGAACTCACGAAACCTTTGCGACCTGAAAGCAGAAGGTTGCAGCTTCGCCGCAGACTTGGACGTAAAAAGGGTATTGATGCTGTCAAAGTATTCTGCACTGCCTCCTGCTGTCTTCTCCGCCGCCGCTCTTCTCGAAGCATGGCGTCTTCCTCCGCGTCGCGTTGGCGACGCAAGCGCTGTGCATCTTCCTGCGGCAGTTGGACTTCCGGACACTGATTCCTACATTGTGCATCAGCAAAGCGCACCCACCGCTTGGGCATTTCAGCGTCCTTCTCCTTGTTTCCCTGCTTCTCAGCTTTGCCTTGGCCAATGCATAGTTCATCCCTCAAAAGTGATTTATGTCTGCTTTTAACTCAAGCTAAATTGGCACACATGTTGGGTCCTGCAGTTGATGGGCGGCTAAACAAGCCCTAGCATTTAGATATATACATAATGCATCAAAATTATGGAATTACCAAAATCTTTGGCCAAGCTAATTTTAACAAGCTGATACAAACAGCACTGTAGGGCCAACAAAGCCATGGCCCAATCATACATGGTCAGTACCGAGAAGCGACGTGCTTCGCGCGCTGCTTGAAGAATTGCCTGCAGAGCGCAGCAAAGTGACAAGAACTAACTCTCAAAGTGCCAAGAAGCACCTGAAGGACCTGGCGAATTGTTGCGTTCCACTACCTAGTGCAGGAAGCCCCTTTTATCCAAGAAGTGTGCCTGTACTCAGGGTTTGGATTGGAATTTTAGCTTTTCTTGCATCAGTTTAGTTCCTGCCCAGTCCAGGTTCGTCCCAGACCGAAGATGTTAAATCAATGGCTGGGTTGCCCGCTCGTCTATTGTAATGGTTTGAAATAACTTGATGCCGTTGTCAAGTCCCTCAAGCCAAGTGTTCATTCACTGTCCTCCTTGATTTGATGTTGGAACAGTAAGCAAGGTCTCTATGGAACAGTAAGCAAGGTCTCTAGAGCCTCCTCCATCTGCTTCTGCTTCTCTGCCTCGCGCCGCACCTGCTCCTGAGAAGGAGAGCTACAAATGTGAAGTTCTGCAGAATTCGGTGGACAACATTCACATGTCAAGCGTCCACCAGATCCCGTTTGTCTCCATTGCATGTCATGGCAGAAAAAAATGACGTCCCTGCTATTGATGGACAATTGATGCAGAGTCATTCGCCCGTCCTATCGATGGGGACCTTTCCGGGGCCCACGTCCATTTCATGCCTAGAGGGCCTCTATCACTCTTCTCCTGCACCTCTTGCTCTTCACGGAGTTTGCCTTGGATGTTCAATGTCCGCTACTACCATGGCTGGTGGTTTTTTTGTTTCGCGGCTTAGAAAGCCCATGCAAAACATGTGAAGACACGTCGAGACACATAATATATAATATATATATACATATGTTAACTATATACTATATATTGCATTTGTCACGTGTAAAATTGCCTCATACGCAAACAAATTGAGAAATCATTTAAAAAAAAGAAACACATTCCTCTGCTGAGGATCAAATCTTTGCCTCGAGGAGCCGCCGCTGGCGGCGCCGGTCTGCCTCTGAAGATCCAAAGCAAGTCATTCCAATCATGCTCAGACAAAGGACTTCTTGTGATTCTTTTCAGGACGTTGACACAAGATTATAGATATACATATACAGATACAAATATAGATAGTTAATATATATATATATACAAATATATAATATATATATATATATGTATAGTGTATCTATATAACACAAACATCAAATTGCAATGAACGTGCAGCATGCGGCTGTATTGTGCTGCGCGTACACGTTCTATGGCGGCAATTCCAGTCTGTCTCTCACATCGAGAGATCTTCCAACAGCGCCGTCAGATCCCAACGGCCTCACGGCGTCGCTCCGTCTCCTCTTCTTGGCGCCTTTTTTGCTCCTCCCGCAGCACTTCCTGCACAAGTCTGCAGTTATTTTTAGATGAAATGAGCAGCGCCGGAGATCCTTCGTGCCAACTTCGCAAGCACCCCAAGCACAAAAAAACGCACCAAGAGCTCCCCGGCACATGGGTCGAAAGGTCGCTCCTGCGATTGGCGCAGCCGCTGCTCTGCCAAGCGTGCTGCTCGAGAAGGCAATCGTGAACTCGCCTGTTGGAAACTAGAAACAAATGCAAACAGCAAAGCAATAGAAATGATACGGCACAACGGGCACGCCAAATGACAGCTGCTGGTTGGTCATTTACCAGGTGATCGCTAGACGTAATGGATTTCTGCATCTCTCCATGTTGCCTTGCATCTGAGAGTGTCAGGCAGCTACTGTATGTCCCTCGCATTCCCTGGACGTGCTCTTTCGGACACACTTCAAATCCATCGCCTCAGCCTCTTCCTTCTCAGCCTCTGCTGTCTCTGGCTCAAGAGGAGGAAGCTCCTGAATGTGCAGTCCAGATTTAAAGCATATGGCATGGCAGGAGATCGCGATTGGGACTACAGTGACTACAAGGAAATCCCAGAATTGGGACGCACAAAAGCCCCCAAACCAAAGGACTAGTTATGTACAGGGTGCAAGTGGAGAACAGGGGAGATGGTGAGATGGTGGAAAGAGGACATCGTAAAACTGCAATGAATGCCGAATGCCTGTTCAATGTCAAACACACTTGGATGCTCAAGCATGGTTGGTCTGCCTGCCGAACATGCTCGAGAGGCAGCTTGGTCCTCCTCTTCGGATGGCACGACACGTTGATAGGGCTTTGTAAGTCGAACGTTGAAGGCCTTAGTTATGGTGGTAGGCCAAACAACGCCCACCAGCTCCAGCTGTCATACCTTCATTCATGCATCCTGCCTCGCAAAATTGAATTGTATATAAAGATATATAAAGTGTTTTTGTTTTAAGGAAGCGTGCAAGGATTCAATAAAAGCAAGCAAACAAACCATGACGCAAATCAGAAAGGTTCGATATGCATCATGATGCATCATGATGCATCTATAATTCTTGCTTCACACACCGTTTTTCAATCTTCTGTGTATCGGATCTGCCAAGGCCAACACACGCATGGTCTGCTTGTGGACCTCATCCAAAGAACGCACATAGTACCCACCCGGCATGGTCTTTCCCTGCCTCAGTGACCACAGGACGAGCACCAAACATAGGGAACCTGTGAGGAACATGGGGAACTAAACTCAGCGACAAATCTTCTTGGCTATATTTGTTGGATGCAAATTCGTGGTGTTTTGTCAACCCTCCTTCCTGTGGAATGACAAAACAATCAGTCGAATCAAGGACTCCATGTTGAAGCCCTCAATGTGTGGATTTGGATGACAGGTTCCCCAACAAAACCTGTGTGTCTTAATTACCTGTCCAACATGGGCACTAGTGAGAATTGTCCAAAGGATACACTTGAAACCATTTGCAAGCGACGCATGACCTCATGCCTTGGAAGCATTTGGAACCTGTACCATCTGGCTCATTTCCTCTGGCTACGTACCCAATGGCCCACCACATCCGACCAAAACGCCCATCTGACTGGATCCCACCTTCGTCGCGAGGCCGTGGTCTCGTCCTCCACCGACTCCTCTACCCTCTCTTCCGGCTCCTCCAAAAAATCAGGATGGTCTGACCAGGTCCAAGAGAAATGTTGAGAGCCCTCTTGAGTACAGAAATCGGTGAACGACAAAGAAAATACAAGTTCTGTGCTATCACAAGGGCAAAATCTTGCAAATAATATAGTCAATATAGTCTCTTCCGACCGGTGCTTTGTTGGACCTACCAGTACGATCTGCCTGAGCTTTTGTAGGCTTCACATCGCTGACCTTCGCTTTCAGATCAATCTCCTTCTTTGGCCCCTCAACCTGTGTCGGTGTTTCAAACTCTACAAAACTGAATCCTGTTTGGAAACCAATCTGAGATCTGTTCCAAGAAACCAAAGGAGTCTAGTCTAGTCTGCCATTCAAACTCCAACACTGTCTCGTGGTCGTCCCGCCTCGGGTGGCTTGGCTACCTGTTGAACTTCCCAGGTGGGCGGGTTCTTGGCATTCTTCCGGCTTTGGGCCCGCCTCTGCTGAACTCAGTCGCATATGGTATATGCATTGTGGTTTCCTTGATCTCTTTCAAGGCGTTCAATGGCACCAATCATGTGAAGAAGAAAGGAATACCACGAATTTCGATGTGGATATTCTCTTTCAAGGATAGTTTGCAAACTGAATGGCACACTTTAATGCAATCTCCTGATAATCCCTGAATCGGCTGCATCCCCACGCCCTTGCCCCGCAAAGTGAGGTTCCCAGAAACAAGGCACAAACAAGGCCTCTTGTTTCGTTCCTTCCATTTTGCAGGATTTTTCCGCCTTGGTCATGACGGATGCAATGCTTGTTGCAGGTGCTCCACGGCATCTATACATGCTGAGAGCAATCCCTTCGTGACTTTGTCATCCGAACATTGCAACTTCCGCTTTCTGGGGGCCAACACAACTCAAAGACCTGCAAAACCCAAGTCATAGGCGGTGCTAAGTGTTGTAAACCAATTTGTTCCACATTTGTTCCTGGCAAATGTCCTAAGTGTTTCAGGAATCAAAAACTCTGGTTTTCTTGCTAAAGGCTTGGTGGCCCTGCACCGCAGCATCCACCACCGCGGGCTTCAGGTCTGAAAATTGAGGTATCTCAATGTCCTTCAGCATTTACATAATGTTTGTACCAAACATGCAATGTGCATAGGAAGGTGAAAGTATAGGCACTCTATCTACCGATCGATACATACATACACCCACCGATCTATGCAGTAGTAAATGTCAGACACGCATGCTATAATACTATATGCACTGCATTACAGCTCTCTTCTTTCGCTTCACCACTCGACCCTTCCAACCCTTCCTCGAAGACCATGGCTCAATGCTTCATGACAACAATCTTGTGTGGCATTGCAAAGGCACCGCCAGTTCAGCAGTATGGTTGTTGCGTACTAAATGTCAAGTGAAGTGTCCGCTCCAACCTCATGTTCAAAGTGGCTGTGCGTTTCTGTGGTGTGGTGGGTGGGATGGATTTGGGGTGATACAACTCAGACTTGGGCCAAAGTAAGACGCCCGAGGAGATGAAGCACTGAAGAAAGGTCAGTTGTTCTGCTGCTATGTCTACGTGAAGGATCGAAGGGTGTAGAGCAAGAAGTGAAATGTTCACATTAGCATGACCCAATCCAGCTCTTGCATTCATGGAAAAGGACAAGGCTGAGAACCAGCATATTCTATCTTATTCTCCCTCATGTTCAACTTCCATGTTTGTGCCCATTGGAGTATGTTTCCTCAATGAGAAAAGAAATATGATGAAATGGCCAGCTCATTTCTTGCGTGATTCCACGCCGTAGGTGGCAAAGTGAAACCCGTGGATTGGTGCCCACACCAGTCTGTGCTGGTTGAGGGGTAGGCCGATGCATTGCCACAGCATGATGTTGCTGGCCAGACCAAAACAGTACACTCATTGTATGAAGATTTAGACTGTTCTTCGGCTCCAGGAATATGTAAATGGTCGTGAGCACAGGCCCTGCAGCAGCAATTATTGTGTAGCCTAAAAGCCGAATAATCTCTCTCAGGCGGTTGATGTATCTTCGGAGCTTCCTGGACATGGCACAGACAAGAAGTGTCCTTGAGATGAAACATTTTGGGGGGGTCATCCAGGCTGCGACTTCTTTGGTCCATTGGAGCCTCCAAACACATGCACGATCATCTGTGCACCTGGCTTCAAACTAGCCGTAACTAGCCTCATCCTGTGACAGCCTGTGGCTCAGGGTGACGATCTTGATGCTCCATTGGCAATGACAAAAGAAATGGAAACTAGGGAAGGTTGGGTGTGTCGTGTGGTGCTGCACGGATCCTTTTCTCCGCGCAACCTTGAGCCCAACGATATTCATCGAATGGCGAGTTCACCTGAGTGGTTTCAAGTACACTTCTCGTTTTGTGCACCTGACAGCAAACGAAGTTTGGAGGTTGGTGGTCCATTTCAACTGCCACACTCCCCCTGACCATCGCATGGTCAAACTCCAGGGAAAAAGGAGGAAGTGATCCTTCGACCACATTTCCAGTGGTTTTTCAACCACACATTTCATAGCTGCCGTCGGAATCCGAATCAGGATCCCTCAAATGGTCACTTTGACCCGGCACACCACGCGGCCTCACTGGGAGTTGGCTCGCAATGCCCATCCATTGCGGGACCTCCTCCAAGTGTTCATGTAGAGGAGGAAGTCCAGGAGGTAGTGTCGTCTCGTGCCCCTGAACTGAGCTGGTTGAGCTCACATCCAAATTCCTCCTCCAATCTTTCCTTTCACTTTCACTTTCTGTGGCGCTTGACGCCGGCCCAGATCGCAGGTTCTCCCCGCGAGAGAGGTAGCCGCCAAGTCGCCCCATGTAGCCAAGGGTCACGCCAGCATCAATGGCGTCTGAGCCCCGAGCCGCTGCCGTAGATCCAGTCGCACTGGGCCGCGCACTTGGGGAGGTTTGTGAAGGCGCAAAGGACGATGATGATGAAGTCCTCCTCACCGAGTGCGCTTCAGTCCTCACCCAACGCACGTTGCTAGTCTGAAATTCAACCTGGTCGGACGATGGAGTACCAGTGGAGTTCTCCGCCACTGAGTCCAGGGTCGCCCGTCGTTGAGGTTGCTCCAGCGCGTCATCAACTGGAGGTGGACCTGAGCTGCTCGTCGTCGGATCGGTGGAAGTGGTGGTCTGTCCCAAGCTGTTCTCTGGGGAATCTCCCGGAAAAAGGTGTATCCCACCCATTGATCCTGGTCAGGCAGCACCGGGCCAATACCACTCCTCCAGTCGTCGTAGAAGACGGTTTTCTCTCCATGGTGCCAAACAACAGTCACCCTTTGGTGTCGAATGGATGCACTGTTGAAGGGCGTCATCCTGTGTAACTGTAGTGGGTGGAAAGGTCGTTTGCGAGGCTTCACATGATGCCTCACCCACCATCCATAGCGCAATCGCCCCCAGCGGTCGCGGCCCTCCACAAAAGCTGGAGTGGGAACCACTCCCAAACCCGCTCTTCCGGCTGCTCCGGCCCAGCGCGAGCCCCAAGCGCAGCCAGCCGCACGCCATGATCGCACGCACGAGACGCGGCCGAGGTATAGCCATTAGGCTAGGTCCCAACCCCCCCAACCCTTCCCGTGCGGTGGGTTCATTTTCCCTCACCGATCTTGACTTTCTTGTTTCGACCGATTCGCTTCCCATGGGTGCCCTCGCCCGCGAATCGACCGTCCGGTGCCATTGGTCTTTGTGGGGTCTTTTTTCCACCAAGTTGCAAGCGCAGCTGACTTTCTTGCGAAGGGTTCCATGCCGCCATGCCGATGACGCCGCCCAAAATGGCTATCAGCCTTGACTTGAACAACGATGCACCTGGAGCTCGGTCAACATCCTTGGACAACACGCGAGCTCCAATGAAGGTGTAAAAATTCTGCCACAGCGTCGGGTTGACGATCGGCTTGGTGAGCAGGTCTGAGGCAAGTTCGGCACCTGGAACATGTTGGGTCTTCCAACAGCTCTGTTGAATGCGCTCCTTCAGCCACAATTCACCTCCTCCAACTCCCCCTTAGGCTCAAGCCCCAGTGAAAGCGACTTGCCAACATCCGAAGACAAAGACCAGTCCAAAGAATCCAGAGAGTCCTCCCCCCCCAGCTCTGCATGTTGCCAGAGCTGGAACCGACTCCTCATACAGCGCTCCCACGCGGCCAGCCAATGGATGGTCAGGTAGTGGAGGCTTCACGGCAGGCACCTCTTCGAGTTCCACGATCGCCTGATCAGCTATCGGCGATGGTTCAAGCGCAGTGCGCACATGCAACAACTGGCCCTTCTTGTCCCGGACAACCCAGCCATGCGACATGTATGGGCAGGGACCAAGGAGCTGCATAGTTCGGTATGGCATGGAGAGCTGACCTGCACGATGCCATCTTTTGGATTTGACCAAAACTGATGCTCCAAAGCGAAGCATAGGAGGACTTTCCAGTCCAAGTCGTTCAAGTTGTAGTCGAACACGTTGTTCGGCAGCATGGCGAAGGGCAACTGGCCAGAAGGAGTGAGGTAGTCCAGCATCATGAAGGAACAACCTGGCGCGACGTTTGAGTTGGTTCACTTCTCCTTCAACCCGGCCATTGGCCTTGGAGTCATCGCCAGCCGTCATAGTCAAGCGAATCTGTCGCTGTTCACACCATTTTTGAATTGGTGCTGAAGCAAATGATCGTTCACGATCGGTGTGCAATCTGTAGACCTGGATGCCCAGCATGCGGTACCCGGTACTTGGCGCGCACGGGACAAAGCACGGACCAGTGACTCCACCGTGCGATCAGGGATCACTTCAGCCAGGGTGACATTTTGATGTCCTTGAGGTTCTTGAGACTTCTCAATCTCAGCCATTTCATTGAGCCTCCGGACTTCATCTTCAGGGACTAGGTCACGGTCTTCCGGCTCACAGGGAATTTCCTCCGTGTGCTCCACATCCTTGGCGCTGTCGCAGGGCTCAGTGACCTCACCTGGAAGCTCAGAGATGATGGGGACGGCCACAGTTGAGACCAATGCATACTTGCAGATGACTCCTGTGCCCAAATCTTTCCCTTCAGGAAACGGTCCACAAAGGTCGGCTGACATGGTGAACTTCGCGGCGCTCCCCCCAAGCCTTTTGTGTGGTTTATCGCAGCCCATAGCTTCCCCACAAATGCGGCAGTCAGCACGAAAGGGGATGTGACCCTGTTTCATATGTCGATGCCAAGCTGCAAGGTCCATTTTGGAGACATGGTGACCCTCTCCAGCCCCCTTTTCCTCCTCCAAAACGCCAAGCAACCTCCTCAAAGCTTCTTGAATCGCTGCCACAAGGCCTGGTGCCCATGCAGCCCAGGTCTTCGAAGTGCGAATGCGGTCACCGAGGTTCGACGGGAGTGGACTATCATCACAACCATCGCCTTGGAGGCCATGTAGTTCTTGGAAGGCAGGGAGGTTAGTCAAAACTGTCGTAGGCTTTTTCCTCTGGTGACCCAGCTTTCCTTGATCAAAGGTGACCAAGCGAAGACCAGCAATCCCAACCCAAGCCATCAGCTCCGGGAAGCACCAGAAAGAAGCGCTCTGCCCACCTTCTTCACCAGCAAGATATTCAGCAGGATCTCGTGGTGATTCCAACAGCATGCCAACATTCGTCGATGTTCTGCGGCATTCTTGAGCTCGGATCCATAGACCCATGTGCTTCATGCACAAAGCCGTGTCGCCATGTACCAGGCAAAGTTCTTCCTCCGAGAGGTCATTGAGGCACCAGCGATCTTCTCCTCGACCACGAAGGCGACGAGGTCCTGGTAAAAAACCTGTTTCGAAGGCGACTCACGGTCCTGCAGGGAGGACCTCCAACAATCGCAACGATGCGTCCCAAGGACGCCAACTTCCACAAGTAGCCCCAAACGGCCGGGTTGCGCAGGTTCAAAGAGGAGTTGATCTCCGTGTCAATGCACAGCAAGAGTATCCTCCTCCGCCAACACAGTTCCACTTCTTCGCATCAGGACCACTGAATAGGTGTACAATGACCCCCTTTCCAGTGAGGTGTGCCCTCCGAATTCTCCGGTTCCAGGGCGTTGTAGTTGGATCTTGGCTCTGTCCAGCCATGCGTTGAAGAACAGGATGTGGTAGTTGAGGAAAATGCTTCTGCCGCCACTGCCGGTCCTCCTCAGAGAGCGCCACCTCCCCCCGATCCTCGAGCTCGATCTGGGAGAGCATGTCCAAAGCAGGTTGACGATGCATGATCGGGCAGCCATGTCGAAGCCAGCAATCGATCGCACCGTGTTGGGTGACGGATACTGCAACCCGTCTTTCGCCACTCCACCTTGCAGCCCCGTTCAACCAAAAGCCCCAATGGGATGATTAGGACAAAAGGGTGCGGTGCTTTGGACGGCGATACAAAACTGTAGTACCTGTTGTAAGTT